TAATATAATATTAAAATAAAAATAAAAATATTATTAAATAAATAATTTAAAATTTAAAATTAATAAAAAAATTTATATTTTAAAAAATATAAATAAATCATTTTATTTTAATAATATATAATAATTTAATATATTATTTATTTAATATTATTTTAAAATAATATAATATTTTAAAATTTATTTATTTATATATTTTTTAAATATTTATTAATTATTTATAAAAAAAAAATTTATTTTATTTTTAATTTTTTTTAAAAAAATAATAATATAATTATTAAAAAAATAAATAATAATAATAAATATTATATAAAAAACTTTTAAATATTAAATTTATTTTATTTTAATTTTATTTATTATTTTATTTATTATTTTATTAATTTTTTATAATTTTTTTTTAATTTTTAAAATATTAAAAAAAAGTTTTTTTTTAATTAATAAACTTAAGGATTGTGTCGCCCCTCGGGGTGGCCTTTAGTATAAGTTATAAAATTATTAGACATTTTTGGACCCACTTTTATATTTTTCATTTTTAATTAAATAAAAAAAATAGTATAAAAATAAAGAAAAATATTATTATTATTAAGATTTAAATATATACTTAAATTTAAAATCCGAATTTTAATAGGATTTTTTTTAAGTAAAATGCACGGTTACGTATAAACGTATTTTATATGTATTTTCGTTGGGCCGTTGATTTGTGTGGGCCGTTAACTAGTGATTTACGTTATTACATAACTTTTACCATTTGTTAAAAAAAGTTATATTAATAAAATTTTGTTGTTAACGCTAATTTAAAATAAATAAAAATAAACCCAAATTAATTTAATAATTAAAAAAATAAAATAAAGAACGCGCTTTTTTAAAAATATTTATGGATTAAAAAACAAATTTAATTAATTTAAATAAAAATTTAAACGTATTAATAATTAAAAATAAAAAAATAAATCTAAATTTATTAAAACCTTTTTTGCTTTAAACTTACAAATTCTTAAAAGATTAAAAAGAATTTTAGATTTAAAAAAATATTTTATAATAATCTTTTTAAATTTAATAAATTTTAAAAAATTTATTAATATATTAAATTCTTTAACTTTTAATTTTTAATCCTTATATAATTTATATAAAAATTTTTTATTTTCGAAAATTTTTTCAAAATTATTATACATATGTATAATTTTTATTTAAACGCATTTTTTAACTTATAAATAAAATTTAATATAACAACGCGTTTTTTTTATAATTTAATTATAATAAATCTTTTAAAAATTATTTAAAAATATTTTTAAACTTATATATAAAAAAAAAGCTATTTAATATCGTAACATATATATATTATAAAAATAAAAAAAATTAAATTTAAAAATTAAATTTAAAATATTTATAAAAATTTCAATTAAATTAATATATTAATTTTTAAATTTTTAATAAATAAAAAACCTTACATAATACGTTAATATTTAAAATTAACATAATTAATAACTTATTTTAAATTTATTAAATGATTTATTTAAATAAGTTTATTTATTATATCCGTTATTTTAAATAGTATTTTACAGTCTTAAATTACGAAAAAAGGTAGGTATTATACGATTAACCTATTTGAGCACATACCACTGATCTACTGCTAATTTACCTGGTCCGTGCCTTAGAATGAATTGTTTCTTAATGGATGCGGTACCCCTCACCCGTATAAACAATAACTGATCCATTGAGATCGTAGATAGCTAAAATTGAGACTATACGGTGTACTTTTTCGAAGGGCAACTTGTGAATATTTAGAGTAGTTAAACTGTAAATTAAATTAGTTAGTTCCGTATAACTACGTGCAATTCAAACTGTATACCTACCTAAGTTCTACGTATATAGTAACCCCTCACATGTCACTATCACGGCATCTTTCCGGGTCCCGAAGAGCTGTTTCCATCGCATCAGGCTTTGTATTTCCACCATCAACCAGTCCTCAAACTCCTTTGCCATCTTCCCTCTCCAATTCCAACCCTGGTTCCTCAACATCGTCAGCCTCATATCCCCTTCTTCAATCTAGAACCTTCGCTACACAATTGACCCGAAACCCAGACATTCTCAAGCAATTATCTCCTCAACATACCTGCAAGATGTCGACCATGCCAGCTCAACATGGCCACTCCGAGGCATGCTGCAACATTCCCCCCGTAGTGTCCAAGGGCTACACCGCGAAGGGCGCATACGAGGATCTCGGAGGTTTCAAATCTTGTAAGTCAGCTATATACCTACCTATCCAACTTACTCCTCCTCTACCTTGGACCTATATACCATACTAACCGTATAATTAACACCTCAGATGTCACCGGCCCTAAGGAAGCCACCAAAGGCATAATCACCATCTTCGACATCTTCGGCTTCTACCCGCAGACCCTACAAGGCGCCGACATCCTCGCGACCGCGGACCACTCGCAGCAGTACAAGGTCTTCATCCCGGACTGGTTCAACGACGAGCCCGCGCCCCTCTCGTGGTTCCCGCCCGACACCGAGGAGAAGCAGAAGAACCTCGGCGCTTTCTTCCAGAAGAACTCGCCGCCTAGCGTCGCCGCCAAGGTCCCGGACTACGTCAATGCCGTCTCGGCCAAGTACCCCGAGATTAAGAGCTGGGCCATTCTTGGGGTAAGAACCATCTCTTATTTCTCATTATTATCAAGAAAAAAATATATTTGCTAGGCTTCTTAGATCACGGCTAACACCAACTTCTACAGTTCTGCTGGGGAGGCAAAGTTGTATCTCTCGTAACCTCTAAGCCCGACACCGTCTTCAAGGCGGGCGTGGAGGCGCATCCGGCGATGGTCGACCCCACCGATGCCGAGAACATTAAGGTGCCTCTGGCGCTACTCGCATCCAAGGACGAGCCTCCCGAGGACGTCAAGAAATTCGAGCAGAATCTCAAGGGCCCCAAGCACGTCGAAACCTTTGGCGACCAGATCCACGGATGGATGGCAGCCCGCTCTGATCTTGAGGACGAGCGTGTCAAGGCCGAGTACACGCGAGGCTACGAGACTGTACTAAAGTTCTTGTCTAAGCATGTGTGAAGCATTGATCAATCTCTGGATAAGCCTTAAGAGGCGAAATGTTGCTAGGCATCACTTGACGAGATAGTTTTTAATGAATGTAAAGGGTGAATGAGATAATTTACCTTTAATTAACGATTATGACAGCACCAACCCCTTTTTATCATATGATCAAATTTAATCTCGGTCACTTAAAATAGCAGGTTAACTAATGAAAATTGTGTCATAGATATAACATGTCAATTAGTAAGTACCTTGTCAGCAAGCCACATAGATACCTGCTATTTTAGATCGTAATTAAGTCATAACGCCATTGTGCATCGTTTTGAAGGACCAGTGCCTAAGCAAACGCCAGAAAATGCGATACGCGTAAAGATGCCAAACCTCGCAACACCCGAAAGAACGGGGAAAACATTATCTAACCTTCTATGTGTCACCCGACGACCCTGAATCCCATCTTAAATTCCTTCACTGGTCTCTGCCTTAGCAGCTTCCGGCTGCTTGTCTGATCCTTTCGTGTGGATATTCTCGTTTTCGCTCCCGCCTGCAGCGACAGATGCCACATCCGTCTTTTCAACTATGTCTTCCTTCATTTCCACATTCTCCTGTAAGTTTTTCTCTGCCTCGCCCTCGCCCTCGCCTTTACGCCCACCAGCTGCCTCGGCAGTGCTTTCAGGTTTGGGTAACTTCTCGATAGCAGGAGTAGCGGGCGCCTCCTTGTCGCCAATTTTCTCAAACTTAACGACTGCCCATTCTGTACCAAGTGCTGCATTCCATGCGGAGGCGTCACGAGACTTGCTGGGGATAACGTTGCCATAGCGGTCGCGACGCTCCCACTTTTGCTGCTGCATGCGCACGAGCTCTGCGGAGTGCGGTGCCAGCACATTGATGCGCGCGATATGGTACCAACCTGCGAAAATGAATCGTGGATTGCCGCGTCCGTACTCGTGGGAGCGACGCTCTTCAAATGCCGCGACAGGCGCGTGCGCAGATGGGGCGTAGTCGATAGGTGGGATGGTGGGAAAGCTAGGTACCTGTGGAAGTCGAAGCTTTAGGCGTTGCTGCTTCTGCTCCTCTACTATACGCTCTTGTTCCTCAGGTGGTAGGTTACGAACATCGCTGAACTTCATGCGGCTGCTGGAACTAGACGATGTTTCCGTAACGGGTGCCTCATCTGTCTGGGTCGCATCAGAGGACGTGGTTGCCCTTGTTTTCTCCTCATCGGCGACGGACAATGATTCAATAGCAGTCGCAACCTGGCCAGCTTCGTTGTCCTGAGCAGTGGATTGAAATACCTCTTCCGTAAGAATCTTATTCGTAGTTGCGTGGGAATCTTGGGACTCCTCAGGCTGTTTAGGGAGTGGCCAATCCCCATATTCCGTCTTCTTTGAGCTGTACTCCGGTAACAAAGTAAGCTTGGATTTGGCAAATATGATGCGGTCACCAGGCCAGCGGGGGTTGGCGTTAGTGAAGAGCAGCATGTAAGACAACTGGTCTGGATGCTCCATAGAGCCGTGGAAGGTGCTCGAGTTATAGTGTGAAATGGCTTCAAGTCCCTCTTCGCCACAAAAATACTTCGCAATTGCGTGTTGATCGTAGAAGTCAACATCGTCGAACTGACTCTGTTGCTGTTGGTTGCGACCTTGGGAGAACGGGTTGCTATAGGTACCTCTTCCGCGACCACGGCCACGGCCACGTCCTCCACGATCTCGTCCTCCACGGAATCCTCGACCACTCATATCGCCTCTACTGCCTCCGTTGTTGAAAGGTTGATATGATGATGAGTTGTTGGAAGGGATAGTAGATGACTCTGGTGTATCAGATGTACTGCCAGTTGCCTGTGAATCTCCACGGCGAAAGGGAGGAATGTAGCTTCCGTACGTAGACATGACTTATGACGTACGCAAAGGTTAAAAAAGTTTGAAAGGCGAAAAATATGGATGAAAATTGGGAATTACGGGGCCAGCCTGTGGGGAATGAGGTAGGTAGAGAATATTATGTGTATTGAGTTTACTCAAGTAAATACATTGGTAAGATATTAGGAGGTTAGTAGATTTGAAAGTTACCTAGGTAGACTGCAAGTGGCAATCGCGGTGATTGTAATTGTTTTTTTCTTTAGATTTTGCAGTTGCGGTATGGCGGGGTTGATTGTTGTTGTTCGTCGTGGAAGCTGCAAACGTCGTTGTCGCACAGCTATCAACTTGAAGATATCGGAGTACCTAAGTACCTATCTTAGGCAGCTACTAAAATGTAGGTAACTAGGTATCATTAATTTCCAGTCTTCAATGCATGTAATTAATCGCATGCACTTGAATACATCTTAGTATTCAAGACTCCTTATCGCAAAGATCCATTTGCTATCCAGCCTAAGACCCAGACCTAAAGTTAGTATCCTTTTACATATGCAGATTATTAGCGCAATGCAGACGCCATATTTATAAATTTGATAAAGAAATTATATACCTAGATATCATGTCTTCGTTCTAAGAGGAAAGACTTTGTGATAATATCATGAGTAGACCAAAATGCGAAAGTAGTTTGTAGAGAACTTTAACCTAAGCTACATGTAGTTATAGAAACCTATAGTTACCTATACATTAGGTTTGAAAAATATCTTAAGCTATTATAAATATCTAATCAGCTAACAAATAGAAAATATCATGTCAAAAGATACTTAAAGTAGAACTTAAGCATATTAGGCATCACACGATTTGACAAGGTTTAACTGTTTTATACAAACAATCAACTAAAAAGAAACAACGGATTAATAAGCAAGTTCGTCTAACCCCTACCATTATATAAGACAATTAACTACCTACCTAGGGGTAGGTATGTCGTCGAATTCAAACATAACCTCGTAAAGAAGACACAAAGTGATAGTATTAATACCTTGATAATAGCTAGGTACGCAATGAAAACCTGAACTTCGGTACAGATATGTCTGCATTCATAGGTAGGAGGTACCTAGTCAATTATACTAATATTATCTATCACGTTACACACATACACCCCATAATTATTGTATGATTACCAACGTTAGGTAGCTATTTAAACTTGTTATCTTTAACAAGTAGCAATCCCGTGCCAATGTTGTAATGCCAAGACTGCCGCTATCGAATTAAAGTCGTTTTAAGAGTTATGAATCGAGTTCCAAGGTCGGCTTCATACTTCCAAAATTCGCTTTCAGCCTTAGGTTAGACGCACTTTGCAGGAAAGTCCACTTTATTCTAGTATTTATCTTATACTATGCCGTCGTATCGCTTGAGGCATTTAATAGTTGCGTAGGTTTTTTTTCTTTTTTTTTTCAATATCGATATAGCCTAGAAACCTAAACTATCTTTGAAGTTCGTGCCTATAATTTAAGCTAAATACTGCGTATGATCTGTATAAAGACATGTATAGGCCATTTCACTACCGGTTATTCTCGGCTCATATGTATAGTGAAGCTTCACATGATAAAGTAGGCTCAAGTAATGATTTGGAGCTACACCACATTCTACAGTCACATAAAATATGCTAGAATCGGGAAGCCCTAGTTCGAGGTAGCTAAACTTGTCGGATGGGAGCGTTCCAATGAGCATAGAGATACTCTCGGATATTCTAATTACTAGTGACGAGTCTCATGCATGATAATCTATATGATTATTGTGGCTTTCGTGCTAACCTGAACGACCTTCGATACTACCAAAGTCACTAATAATTCTATTGCGGTCCTGATGGAATAATCCGGAATTGTTTTAATTAACAGCTGTGATCTAAAGTCTTCGGAGCCAATCCACTAACATGATAAAGAGCCTCAAACGATCCCGGTGTTAGATACCTTACTGTTCTATATGGCAAGCTTCACGAGTCTAACTTCTCTACCGAGTTCTAGCTCCTAAAAAGTCAAGTCATATAAGTATATCAATGACAATACGCAGATCATAGATAGGCAACTAAACTGGAAATTTTAGTCATTTGTGATAAGTATGCATAGCATACAATAGTTCCTTACCTATGACGCGAAAATGCATACCAAGTACTATTCTTGTGTATTACAATCCCCTATCTCTAGAAATATAAGGCCAGGGTTCGTTGGAGTAAAGGTCGTAGCTCAGTATTAGATTGGCTTATAGCTGAGTGGCGTTTTTCTCCATGAATAAGATGAGATGCTGGCTCGAATATTGCGACCTCTATGGTTTGCTTTTTTCTTCAGCGTGGATGGCAAGTTCCAAAAGTGGATAGCATCTGACGATTCATTTTGTCATGCATACGAGAAGGAGATGAGAGATAGGAGCTGCCTGCTGAATCCATTCCACCCTCCTATCGACAAGTATGAGTAAATATCACCATATTTCCTATATTACTACGATGATGGTTTATTCATATTTACCCTTTTTATTACAAGTGAATCTCTAAAGGCCACCCTAGCCATCTACAAGACTAAACGGTTATTACTTTCATTCCACCCATCATGTTTAACCTCTATCTACATAGCATAAGGTTGGAGGAGTGGTTTCTGGTATTCCTTTCATTGGGGTTCATTCTGGTTCGTCTTATTGATTTCGTTATAAAACCTATCCAGCATGGAGAATACTACAGTACTAACGGAAATATTGAGCTCTAGCTCCTCATAGACGTATTCTATAACCTGTTCTTCCATCCTCTAGCCCATATCCCTGGTCCATTCTGGAGCCGAATAAGCGTGTTTCCTTCGTGGTACCATGCGTGCCGTGGCGATCGCCATATTTGGCTATGGCAGCTGTTCCAAATCTACGGCGATAGGGTTCGTTCCCAGCCTGACACAGTATTATTCTGCGACCCTCAGTCATACACCGACATCTATAGTATGAAGTCAAATGTGCGACGGGCCCCTTTCTATGGGACGTTCCAGAAGAATAGGCACGAGACCATGACCGTGACTGCAATTGACCCTGCTGAGCATGCACCGAGGCGTAAACGTCTTAACCCTATTCTTCTTAATGAGAAGTCCATACGTGCGGCTTCGAAGTTCGTCATTAAGCACGTTGAACGCTGGGTACAACTCCTAACAGACGACAATGAGATAGCTACCGAGTGGTCTTCTCCCGCGAACTTTTCGAAGAAAACTGACCCACTTACTTTCGACATTATAAGTGATCTTAACTTCGGGGTGTCTTTTGACATTAAAGAGCCAGAGGAAAATCCTCTGAAGTTAATACCATCTTATATTATTCAATATTTACGATTCAGCTACATAGTAAGCGCTTCTAATCCGCACCTTGCTATCTATTGTTTCGATGAAGGGTGGTGCTTACAATGTGAAAAGATGGGCCGTGCCCCCTTTTTTAGATTTCTCCATTGGATGAGGCCTTACGGATTCGACTATCTCCTCGAATTCATTACCCCGCTAGCTGTTCAAAGGTTCAACCAGTTCGTCTACAATAGTGTATCTGATCGTATTGCTCTACAAAAAGAGCAAGCGGAAAAGCCTGAAGCTCAGCGTCGTCAAGATATATTCTACTTCTTATATGAAGCGAAAGATCCCGATACGGGCCGCCCCGCTTACGACGAAGCCGCTCTGCGGGGAGAATCATTACAGCTTTTGACCGCGGGATATGATACGACCGCTACTGCTATTACTGGTATAATTTTCTGTCTCACCAGCGATTCTCGACGGTACCAGAAACTTGTGGACGAGATCCTATCAACATTTGAATCAGCAGAGGATATCGTCTACGGACCGAAGCTCCTGGGATGCACCTATCTAAGAGCTTGTATCGACGAGGGAATGCGCCTTAGCCCCTCACTACCAAGTGATCTTCCCCGGGAGGTACTGCCTGGTGGCCTAACGATTAAAGGAGATTACTATCCCGAAGGCACTATCGTAGGAGGTGTTCCTTGGGCCCTCATGCGTAACCAGGAAGTTTATGGAGATCCTGAGGTATTCCGACCCGAGCGTTGGATCTTAGACGAATCGACCGGAGTAACTCAAGAGACCATCGCACAGGCAAAATCCTGTTTCCACCCCTTCCTCTCTGGTCCGGGAAATTGCGTCGGGCAGAATCTGGCCATTGTGAGTATCCTTATTACAGTAGCTCGATTACTATATCATCTAGATGTAAGAAGAGTTCCCGGATCTACATCTGGAGGTGGTAGTCCTGCGATGGGGTGGGGAGCAAGGAACAAAAACCAGCTACAGCTACAGGATGTATTTGGATCAGGCAGGGAAGGCCCAGAAGTACAGTTCAGGAAGAGGGAATCTACTTCCTAGGAGGTCGGTACTAAGGTTAAGGCAGCAATGTGATACCAGGTATAACACAAGGAAAAGAAGATTGGAATCAAAATAGCCGGCGGCAAGTCGTTCCTTCCATCAGTGCGAAGGCAGTACACATTATTGTGGCTTGCCTTCTGGTGGTTTCGAGTGTAGGGAAAATTGAAGAATGAATAGGGTTCGCTCTTTTATTCATGGGCCAGCGATGATTAACCGCAAGGAAAGGCAATGTTGTGATGAATTTTATACATGCTCAACAAGACTTTCGACATGATATACTAGGTAGCTTTTACAGAATGTTAAATAAGGGACGCTCCTTCAACCACCTTACTTACCCCTTGCCTTTAAAATACAGCTACCATACCTACTTGCAGTGATCTATAATTAGATCTTGCTCTGGATTAATAAACACAACTCACCCCTTTAGCCCCATATGAACGCCTCATGAAATCTCTTATCGGACGTGTTTATTATTCTTAGTAACACTACACAGATCGTTGCAGATAACGTTATTAAACGGGCTTTAAGTAATGTCTCGTGGGATAGGAGGTATTAAACGGCTCCCTTACTCCAGTACTAGCTCGCCACCTAGATTTGTCCAAAGGAAAGTTGATTTAATGCCGTACTATTCCTAGATAAAAATGTATCTTAAGCAAAGAAGTATTCATAAATCCAAGTTCGAAATAGTTTATATTTAAATAAAGGGGATAGCATGATTTTCCCGACAGAAAACCCGATAGAAATAAAGGGCTTAGTGGTTTCTATGTCATAGCTGCCTAGGTAGGTACCTAGTAGACAAAAGAAAAACATCATAATTGGGACTTCTTAATGTATTAGAAGAGAAATTTAATGAATTTTCTTGCCACCATTAGCCCATCAAGAAGAGGAGTAAAATGTTAGATATGAAACGGTGAAACTGATAAGTACCTACCTACCTATATAATAGGAAGTATGTACTTCTACCTACGGACATACGAATAATAGTTATTACCGACAACGAAATGAAACTCATCTTTATTCACTCGCATTACGAACGAACACGTGGAAAGAATCCCTTATAGAATTCTTCTTTATCCCTTAGAGGCCTAAACAGGGGCCAAGAATCAGGTCCATAAAGCTGAACCTCGCTACAGCCGTGATGACTCAGATTTGATTCAGAAGGTGGCTCGAGTGGCTTGTTTCTAGGGTAGATGGTAAATATAGACTACCTCTCAAGTCTTTGAAACGCAGACGAATTAGATAGAGAAGCTATTAGAGGCTGTCTTTTGATACGCCCATACTATGGAGCTCTACGACACGGGAGCTCGAAGGTACTTAGTGTAGTAATACAAGGCACCTTTCATTACAGAGACTTTAGGTATACTTTATACCCGAGAGCCGAAGGGATCGTAGCAATCACCCCATGGCCTTTGATATAAAGGAAACATGCCATCTTCGCGTTTATATATCCGCCTCTATTAGTTTAGCTGGGATTCTTCATTCGTGTCCCCTTCCCACTTATCCAGGGACGAGATCGTAGGTAGCAGCATGGCACAGACTCTTAACCCGGAAGCACTCTCAAGCTTATCACCAGAATATCTGGCTGAGGATTGCCGCGCGATCTGGTGGCGTTGGAACGTTGCACTTACAGCCATTATAACCGTTATATATGTTCTATTCAATATATCCCGAGTGTGCTTCGCAGGATACAATGGCTGGGAAATATGGACGTTATATCCGCTCTCATATGTTTCTTGTATAGGACTTTGCATCCTATATTTTTGTGAGTGTCTCCTTACCTTTCTATTAGCTATTACGTCGCATAGCTGCTTCAGCTACTGACTATTCTGCTGGAGCCAGTGGCCATAGCTACAGGGGGTGCAGGGAAACACTTGGTATACTGGGAAATTCACGATCCGAAGACTATCACTACATACCTTAAGCTTCAGACTGCATCGGAGTTTCTCTATATGCTCGACGTAACGGTCCCCAAAGTCTGCATCATCATCCTGTATCTCCGTATCTTTACCGAGCGTAAGATTAGGCTCATAACTAAGATCGTCCTTGGAGTTGTAATCAGCAATTATGTTGCGATCGGTATTATCGCCATTCTTACCGTTTGTAGGCCATTTTCCTACAAGTGGGACAAGACGATAGATGGCCACTGTAGTGACCTCATGAATTCTTACCGGTATACGAGCTTACCGAATATTATCACGGATATAGCTATTCTTGTCTTACCTTTTCCCATGCTTTATAAATTACAAGTAAGCCCAGTGCGCAAATTTGGGATATTCCTTACTCTCCTAACAGGAAGCCTGTAAGTATATTTTCTACATCGACACCTTATTTCGTAGTTATATTATTTATCTCTTTAGGAGGTATATAGGTACCTATACACGCGACATATTCTGATCGAACGTGCTTTCTTTGTTTTGCTTACAAGACGTCGTCTAGGGGCCTTATAACCGCCATTGCTCGCTTCGCCGAGTACTGTAAGTCCGATTGGATGACGGACCCGACATACGCGGGCAACAAACCTATTATTCTCGGTATTATCGAATCACATACATATTTCATATGTTCTTGCTTACCTGAGATGCGACCTCTAGCGCGCGGGATCTATAGGAAATTCAAACCCCATAAAGTCAAAGAGTTTCACTACGACTCAAGTCCATCCTCCCAGCGTTTGGGGTCCAGTGGTTATGGTTCTTCTATCGGTAATCTCCATGGCAGTTATAAGACATCAATCTCAGCTCTCAGGAGACAGCATGATTATAGCGAAGAGTTTGAAGTCCCTGCAGTAATTCAGCTCGATAAGACGGTTCAGGTGAATTATTCTCAAAAGCGAACTCCTATAAGAGACATGGTCTAAACTTGAGGGATTGTGGCGATTATTGTCTATAAGGTCTTTATTTTACACATGCATATCCGACCATCTTCTACTACATTTATTCCTAATGAGGTATATATAGGGAAAATCTATGGCAGCTTATATAATTTATTTGCCCTTATGTTACAATACTATCGTGCAAAAGAATTATAATGTACCTAGAATTTCACACTGCGATACTGATTGGGTACCTACTTATTTCAATTCCCTCTAAGCTGCAAACCGGTGTAGATCATCTACTTGGGTATCCTGATATTTAATGTATGATCTTAATTTTAATAAGCATTCAAACGAGTGTGTGTATGCCATCTGTTTTTACAAGCAACGATTGATGGTTTCGCCTCCGAATCTTCAGTCAAATACCCTTGGCTCTTTTAAATTTTAGAGCCAGCCTATTAGGTTGGACTGATGTCGATAAACTCTTTCTAGTTAGCCGCAAACGTCGAATAAAGAAGGTCAAACGTGGTCGGAGATGAGTCCATGTGGGATCAATACCTAACCCTACCTTTGTTAGCAAAATGCAATACCGCACTCCATCCCCATAATCTTTGGGGGGTTAGCCATAAATAGAATTCCGTTGAGTAATACATGGCATCTTCTATGCTGCTCATGAAACTTTAGCCTATCTATTCTGACAATGGTTTGAGCTTTCTTAATACGCGTTTATCTTAAACAATCTGTGTTAGTATGGAAACGAGGTAGTTAATGTATAAGTGTGGTTAGCTAAGCGCGATAGAGATTAACGTATTATGAAATGCTAAAACCAGCTTCAACAGTTGCATATTACCCAAGTGTTCATGCCCTTGCTAGTTCCTAGTATATGGTATCTACTTCTTCAAGTACTATACGTAACCTAAACATCAAGCGATAGACTTATACATAGTTGCTTGACAAGACACTAGTTCATTCTGTTTCTTATTAGGGTAAGGCAAGGCTGTTGCCCATAGGTATTCAAATTGAAAATTGCAGTTTTTCGCCACCTGCATGTTCACATTGTGGAAGGAAGCATGTACTAACTTTTGCTCTATACTTCACACTTGCCATTACTATATAGAAATTGAAACTTGTTGCTGCTTTTGACAGAAGGCTTCACTAAGTACCCCTTGTACCGCAGGTTGTTAAATCTTCCCGTGCTCTCTCTCTCTCTCTCCCCCCCCCCCCGGTGTCTAATCACACACCCCAGCATAGGGTGTACTAATAACACTGTCGCATAACCCCTTTTCAACCCTTGACCTGTTAGACTTACCTTAGCACATCCAAGCCAAGTTCAGTGTTACACTTCAACCACAATAATCAAAATCAATCGCATGTCTGGACATAAATAATTTCATATATACCTATAGATGTGAAAGAGCGTACATCGTAAATGCCAAGAATATAAGTCATCGATTTTTCCAACCAGTGAACAAAAGCCTCAGTCCACTATGCTTAATGCTAGATTACCCAAGATCGCGCTACCAAGGCACTTTTTCTCATTCGTTAAACGGGTTAACCCTCCCATCTCTATCTACAAGACAGATATCCTCTAGATCGCTCTCTAGTCTTTATAATGATGAATAGAATTAGACAGCAGAGCAGATGATCTTCCACGAGGCCCAGTTGGCGTTAGGCGGGGGGACGTCGCTGCAAGTGCTGGTCTCGAGACGTGTGGTGCCGGAGGTGCAGATGTTGTTGGTATAGACGTAGACTATTATCCCGGGTTAGCTAACATATTCTCATCGCCAATATTATAATTAAATACGAGACGAAAGACCTACAACTGCAGCTGTCGGCGGCGGGGCTGTTCATAGCCTCTAAGACGACGGCCTTAACACCGGGGGGAGTAGGTACGCCATCAAAGGTCTTGCAAGCGTTGGCGTCGGATGCGTCGACGGTGTAGAAACCCTGGTTTAGTTCGCTGCAGCCTTCGGCGCCGAAGACACGGAACTGGGCGAGACGAGCACCGTCACGGGGGACGGCGTTAGCGCTAGCGCCAAAAGCGAGGGTAGCGGCAGCGGCGAGGAAGGTGGTGAACTGCATTTTTACGGTGGTGGTTTAGGAGATTTTTTGGTTGAGTAGGTAGGTGGTGTTAGTGATATCAAGAATAGGTGTGTATAAGTTGTTAGATGTTTTGATGTGTGAAACTGATCGATTAGAGTCTAGAGATCGCAGTCTCTCGGCTCCCTTTTATAATAACATGAGGTCTTCTCATATCGTATTATCGGTGCCTAAAGTCCATGGTCTAGACATTCTGTATGTACAACACAGGAGGCTTTGCAAGGAGTGCTCTATGGATTAGGCCCTAGGATAGGCCACATCCCGGTCAAGTTGCTTAACTAGCTGAGGACAAAGCGACCAATCAGAAATAACGGGGTAGTTGAAGATCTACCCGAAATGGGAATTACCGTCTTATGCATCATCTGTAAGAAGGATCACCGCCTTCCGACTTGTGGGGGTTGAGGCATGTCGAGTAACGTGTAACTTGACATGTTTACGACAAAGATCGGCAGTCGGTGGAGATCTTCACTGGTTGGACTATGTAAGAATGGCAATGCTAGGATCGCTCGTATGCCTCACCTCAGCTCCGAGAAGCTTGTACACTATGAGGTCAAAGCTTTACGTCTTTGACAAGCCCAACATTCTGTAACTCATGTAAATCTTCTGGAAGGCAGAAAGATTAAAAATTCCCCGATTGGATCATACTCTAATAACTCCATAGAGACCCATAGTTCGCGTAATCTGACAAGGTGTTTACCCCATGAAATCCAGCATTGCGGCTAGACTCGATCGAATGAATCTACGCCACGGTGCCGCCGTCCGGAACATCTTGTAGTTCGGTATAACGCTATTTGATATCAAAGAGATAGCCAGAGAAGTGACTATTACTATTAGCCTATCGCCGACGCATGTGTGTTAATACAGGTCTTCTGTAAGGGGGCATTGAGCAGCGAAGGATTCCGTTAAAGAGTTGTGTTTACGTATGTCTTAGATGGTACTCGTTTACTTTACCCAAACATCAACATAATATTAAACTGGAGTTGAATTGTGATCACAGCCCAGTTCAATTATGCAGCTACCTTCTCGTATTTATATCGACTAGGGGTGATGACCGCGTGTCCATCGCGGTGTACTTTATTTTAATGACCAGTCATATCTAGTCTTGCCACAGCACAGCACCCGATCGTCCAACGAAGAGAACGCCGAAGTTGTTCAAATGAAATTTACGAGGAAACCCGATAACCGACGTGGTACAATCATGTAACGACTGGATGTTTGCTGTGAAGGTGTTCCGAATACATTTATTTGTTGTCTAATAATAGCACACGTAAAAGCCTCAAGTTAAAGTGTTACTTTATGTTTGCCTACCTAAGGTAACTACCTCTCTTAATATCACAAAGTTCAATAATATCTTCTAAGATGAATACTGTTACTACTCTATAGGTAGTTTATACAGTGTAATAGTAATCGTCGAAACATTACTTTGATACCGACTTTTCACGGCCTCTTCGGAGCAACAATACCCCTGTAAACTCTTACACGACACTTTGGTAACCAATTAGCTACAAGAGGAGTTGCAACATACTCAGTAAATATCTCAACTTCCAGTTCGCTACTGTGTACATTCTCCACTACAGCAACTTCAAGCAGTCGGTTTCAATACGATCACTAGAATCAACTGCAACTTAAGGATACGGTATATTCGGACTACGGAGGAAATATTCGTCAGCTTATAAAGTATTACTTCTCGTTACAACTCCGAGACATCCGAGATTTATAATATGTATGTCCTGAAAGATAAACTTCAAATGAAGAACATCAACCTTACATAATATAACTTAGAGAATAAGCCTAGGTAAAGAACAAAGGAATACTAAGCATCATGTCTAACCCTAACCCCTATCCCCCCATCCCCTTAAAACGATAGAGAGAAGAGAATATGACCAGATGTTGCCCACATCGAGAGTCTCCCGTAACACATTACGCCCCCCTCCCCACCCCCTAAAGACTTTATTATTTTCCCTGTTACAGAAACGAGCCTTGACAGAAAACAAGAGGACAAGAAATACACTCCAAAAACCACAGCCGATTTCCTCCTGTCTGACCTACACCAGCTCGAAGTAACCAGAAGAAGAAGAGCACGATCACTGGTTATTATTACCGCTGTCATTATCTTTGGTAAACGCATCGTATATAGGGTCGTCAAGCGGCACCATAACACACACAGCATGCTCGCCATTGTCGTCGGCGCCCGCACCCCAATCCCCATCACTAGAGGCAGTCGGCGCCCGGGCATCCTCCCTCACGGGGGAAGGACGCGGGCTCGTAGGAAGTCGAGGTACGCGTGATATCCCTCTGCTCGTCGTGATTGACTCCCGCAGCCCGTTCTCGGTCCTCTGCATCGACAATATCGCGAGGGGTGGCTCCAGGACACCGCGGCGAAGAGGCTGGTGCTATCTGAACATGTTCATCTTGAATTGCACCATTCCTTCTTCCATCTGCATTTCCTGGGTAGTCTCGGTCTCTTGGATCTCCTGCTTTTCACCGAGCTCACGTGTCTGGACGCACATTGACGTGTACAGTGGCCTATACAGTGGCTTGTATTGCTCTGCTGTCAATAGTGGCCCGGCAGATCCCATATACTGGTATCCGATGGTTGGATTACCTGGTGTTTTTCTGTCGTTTGTATCCAGCTGGGACATACGTGTAGCTAGTTCCTGATCTGTATTTGCCATATATTCGTTTCTCTGATATTCATGGATAGTCTGGCTCGTCGCCTGGTGCCACTCAGATGAGGGATTATTCTCTAGTTTGGCTTGCTGTCCGTTCTCTTGCTGTAATTCGGCAAGTAGCTTCTGGTTTTGCTCCCTAGATATCACAATTTGCTCCTCGAGCCTGCTCACTACGGCGCTTGTCGTCTTGTCTAAGTAGTAGTCAGTTTGAGTGCCTACGGATGTCATTTGAATGGAAGAGCTATCGACATGGAGATGATCATTCTCTTCTGTTAATATCTTGTTGACCTGCTTCAAGTCTTCGATTTCCGACTTGTACTGCTTCATTTCGTTGTGCTGTATTCCGATGAGTCTCTCCAAGCCTTCTACTTGCTGCGAGACCATGTGTGATAGATTTCGCTCATCCGAGGTAGAACTATTCGCTATTCTGAGCTTTTCACGCAGGACTGAGACCTCCTGATCTCGATCCGCCTCTTTCTGGATAGCCTCTGTCGCAACCCTCAAGCTTTCCTCGAGAGCCTCACTCATTTCCTTATGACATTGAATTTCACACTTGAGATCTTCTCTATTCTCGCAAAGGGCGTCAAATAATGACTGAGCTATCCTGCTAGCTTGTAAATGTTTTCTAGCTTCATTCTCAACTCTCATTTCGCTTCTTTCCAAAGCCTCTCTGAGATGATGTCTTTCCCGAAGCAGTGAGTTCACTATCTTCTCTGCGGCGTTGCAGTTTGAGTTCAGCATTTTTTCTAGATCCCGAATCTTATGCTTCGCTCCATTGATCTTTTCGTTCAAGTCAGTTATTATAGCCGCATTGTGCCTCGATACTGTGCAACTCGAGGATAGCCCAGATCTAGAGCACTCCTGGTGGCAGAGAGCTCCCGACCAGCCTTCAGGTGATCTCAGAAACCCTTGGTCCATTGGATGATGTCGAATCTCTATATTTTAACACTCGCTTTCGACGATATATAAGCCTGACGGTTGTATGTTCGCATTGTAAAGAAAATAGACACAATAGACTCTACTGGGAGAGAATTTAGTAGTATGAAATATAACACACGCTCGTCATCCCAACACTTTTTTTCATATCGGAAGACAGTCCTATTTTCCAAAACAGGTACCTAATAAATTCAATGTATTACTTTAGATTTGTTTCTCTTGGGTCAGAGCATCAAGGCTAGCATTGATCCTAATCGCTTGGGCTGAATCTCGTTTTATTATTTCAGTATCCTCAGTTTGAGTTTGAATGGAGGTAGTCCCATGATCATGCGACAAAGAACCAAGACCCTTTAGGAAAGAGTTGAAGCTATAAGCCGACATAATAAAGTATGATTGCCGAGTTTGGTTGTTGCTATGTGAAAAGGGGTAGTTTAGCGGTAGCATAGCGGTAGCACGGGACACCAGATTAAGTTTTATTAAGGACAACTTGATGAAAGTTTAGTGTGGTGATACTTGGGACTTACCGTTGGCTGATGGGCCAGAAAGCATAATCAACATTAGTGAGAGTAGTAAGACAATTAAAGGTGCTCATCAACGAAGCATTAGAGTTAGGGTTGAGTTATATGCCTTGAGCAAGTAGAACAGCCCTCAGGTTTAAGTTTGCGAGATAGGGCGATAGAGTCTGTATGATCACCGTGGGTAGTATGATAGAAAATGAATCATACCTATTATGAATAATAAAACCGACAAGGCCCTATACAGGCTAGTATATAATAAGGGGTTATGGGATTATGGGGTATAAGTATTGAATTCCGTTTCTATATATGCCGAGATAGAGCAGATGGTCCTCCCACTGTCCTCGGTGCAGTAAAGTACCTAAGCGCACAGGGCACCGTTCCCAGATCAACCCATATGAACAAGACAAAATGAAGATTGCCACGCTTAACTTTTGTGCCCTTAACTATCCGGCACGCCTAAGCGTGGCGCTCCTTAGCGGCGCACATGATATCCCCAGCGACCACTACAAGCAAAGGGACCTGCCGTTTACCCTGTCCGTGCACCGCAATACACCTTGTTTCGCTGATATATCAGTCAACCTGCTTCTCGCAGCCGATGCGACCGAGCAACTCCTTACGATCGCTATGGCCGGGTAAACTGACACCAGAAGAACTTGCGCCTCTTTTAACGCCTGTTCGACGCTCCCACCCCTTCAAATCAATAGCTTCTACGCCAACTTCTTCCTCAAGTGGTTGTGCCTCTTCGTATTCGGTTTCTAGCTCCTGTTCATCCCTTTCGTCATCGCTCCTAGTATCATCGGCGCCGTCCCCCTTAACCACCCGGATGGCAACATTGATAATCATGAAGAACCAGAAGATGGTGAGGACTTGGAGACCAAGTAAACAATTTAAGAATCCCCACTGAATCGAGCTGGAGAAACAAACCGTACCCTCAGAGCCATTAAATGGCTCTAGAACGTGACCCCATCCGTCAGGGATAGGCAACGGTCCCGTCAGGTTTGAATTTGGGCCATGGTAGCAGCCCCAGGTGATTTGTTCAGGCAAATCCTTGTAAATACTGTAGCATGTCATAAGGTAAAATATGTGTCTGGCTACAAACCACGACACCATGAAAACCACAAAGGTGGCATCGCATAGCTTCGAGAACCCTAGGTATTTCAGGCACTTTGCAAGCTGATATTGGAGTTAGCTAAATGGAGCTAGGCAGTATTTAGGGGTTTAAATAATTCAACTTACCGGGAGGAACAAGTCGACCACGTCCATAAGAACCAAGATGAGATTACCAACTCGAGTATGGCAATAGTAGTAACACCCGGAAATGAGCGTGATTGTGATGAAATGATGGGTGAGCATTTGATAGTGGTCCTTTCTGCGGTCTTCGATGTGGATAACAAGGACTTGCTGCACCCAGAAAGCCCATTGCGCTAGTATGTAGCCTTTCATGAGCCCGCCGAGCTCCCTATTCGGCCAGCCAGTCCAGAGCTCTTTCATGTTGAGGAAGTAGTCTGAATTGACGTATAAATACTATTTGAGGGTCATTTGTTAGTATAATCGTCAGATATTGGATAGGTAGATAGGTAGGTTATGCGCATAGCAGACCTCCTGCGCCTGTGTAGTATTAAGGGGGTTTCATACCGTGCCAACTGTCCAGAAAACGCTGTAGTAAACCAGCATCCATGCCTGCTCAGAGAACCTAGTAATGTCTTTTCTCTTGGAAATACCCCATTGTCTGGCCAATGGTGCCAGTATGTGTTCCATCAAACAAGCGCGGAGTCCGGTGAAGAGAACTATGCAGAACGAAATAAAGTGGTAGTCATTCGTCCCAATCGCATATTTCCCAGATTCCGGGTTGTAGTATGAGAGGGTAAAAAATTTGGAGGTATGAGGGCGTGCTTTGGGAAGGCATATGTGCGTGAGGAAGATCAAAGTGATCAAGTTAAACGAGAGACCTATATCAATTGGAAACTATTAGCGATAGTAAAGAGCATATGGGAATATTAGCTGGTAGTGCGATACTGCTGTCGTGGAACAGAGCACCGAGCAGGACCCTACACACTCCATGATGGGGGTAGATTTGAAAATAGCTGTCCGATAGACTTTGTAGGTAAGTGTAAACATACCAGTTTGATTCTCGAGGAACCAACGAGCCAAGCCCCTCATGGGGCCATCGTCTTTCCTCTTTACTCTCCGGACTAAGACCTTATTTTTGTTGGTCTGCATGTACAAAGGGCCGTTCATTGAGCTTCGCGACTTCACTGGCGGCCTTACTGCGCTCGTCTTGGGCTTCTCGACTCGAGACTCCATGGTTGTGGCAGACTTTGTTGTATCCCCAAGGTCTGTGGGAGGGGCATTGGCCTCGGGTTCGTTCATATTCAAATCGAAATGTCCGCTAGAAGCCCGATTGTAACAATTTCTGTATGTTTAACCGTGAATATGTGCGGATATGTCGGCCGACGCAATAAGATCAGCGGGGAACTTTCGAAAAAAATCAGAACCAGTGATAACCAGTGATTACACAATTAACGAATGCCTCACACGTCAAGCGATTGGCGGATGCGAGTAACGGGTGGTAACGGGAGTTAGGACACGAAAACAAATGCCACAAACAGACAAATCATCACTCTTATTTTAGAAGAACGAATGTGTCCAACGAGCCCCCGGAGCTGTATACAGGGGACATTGATCTGGTCGAGGACCACCTGGACAGGACTGAAGGCAAGTTGTTTTTGAAGATGTTGAAGTGAAGGTGGGCCCCCCCACTGCTGTAAGTTTTTTGATAGATTCGAGGATGAGCGGTCAGAGCGGTGAACCGGGAGAGAAGAAAAAAAAAAGAAAAAAAGGAGGAGGGGTGGTCAAGCTACACTACCTAAGGTTAAGTACTTACCTAGTAAGGCATCGTCCCTTTCCAACAGGGGATTAGTGGGGTATATCAATACAATTTGGTGATCACTGATCGCTATATCGTCGATAACTAGACCACTTAGGTAATTGTAGATAGGGGACCCCCTTCATAGCCAAGAGGTTTTTCGTCCTTTTATTACGTGCACAGAACCCGTACCTTTGGCGAAATGGAGACAAGCCAAGGGTATGGATCAGCGATCGATATACTTACATGCCTCTCAAACATGGTAACATCTGATTTTTTGTTGAGACCATTTGCATATGTACCTAGCCTGACTGCCTGATAACTTGAACTTGCAGTGCCAATTTAAATGATAGCTTTAGTGTACATAGTGTAGTGCTACATTTTCTTAATATACAAGCTTAAAACGCCACGAAAAGTAAACAAGCTACTTTATAGCTTCTTCTTCTCTCTTTTAGATAACTTAAAGTAGCCAATTGATTAGGTGAAGCTTAGGAGAGTTTACATAACAGGTATGTATCATACCACGTTTCGTTTCGAGAGTTGGATTGGATCGTCTGCTTTGATGAGTTCGTAGAATCTTTTTCTCTCCTATTCTTTCCCCGCCGCAAGCTTCCCATCTCCAATGCAACCTACTTTTACCAGAGCTGTTTGTGGATATGAGTGACCAATGGGAGCTAACTGCTCCGGGACTGACAACTTTATTGCATGGATTTGCTTTTATATCACTTTCCCACATGGCATCCTAGCGAATAAGCTGTGCCGAATTTCGCACAACCACGCATCTCATCTTCTCGTGTGTTGTCGCTTATTCCCCGGACATTCTTCGCGAGCGGGGAATCCATGTGAAATTGCTGTGACTTTCCGGTATATAAGTTAATGATAAACTACGGGACACTCTTTAAAGAGAAATCCAATGGTTTTTAATATCTGAGTTTTATTTAATATAGTAAAAGTTGAAGATGTCTTCATTGATACTTGGCAACAAACCTAGTAAAATTGTAAATGTGTATCAGGTACGTATATGAATGAGGTAAGTCGGGAAATGATAGGTGATTGGTCGTAAATTGCACAATGCAGGATATATTGAAAAATATATACAATAGTGAACTTCGGAAAGTCTGAAAAAAGTCTGGAACTGCAAAGACTCAGCTAGCCATCTCGACTTGCACATGCCGCCCCGCACTTTTAAGTTCTTATGTACCATAGTACCATTAACCATACCATATTCAAGCCACATGTGGCCTTCTGATAATCTCCAGTGGGTTGAACCTAGGTAAAATCAGCAACCAACCAAAATCAAGCAGATAATGACTAAGAATTTCTTGTCGATAGTACCAGAAACATTGAGAAAACCAATGGACCCATTATTTGTTTCTCTAGGTATGTATGACCGCGCTCTGACACTGCACAGCCTTCCCGCACCTGCCTAACTAATGACCTACAGTACTTACTTACATTACTTACATTGCGCCCCGCGATTCGCCCGCCGCGAGTTTCCATCAGCCACCTCTCACCTAAAACAACCTCCATCTTTCCCATCGCCAGTAGATCATTACTCATTTGTGCTTGCTCTGTCTGTCCATCTATTTATCATCAGCCACGACGAACCCTCTATTATCGACAGCGTCTACTACTACGGATAAGAAAAACACGATGGCCGCTAATACCAAATACACCCCGGCGCCTACCCAGGATCCCGACGCGGCAACCTGGTCGCAGGCTCCCCCGTCGTACCAGGACTCTGGATCGAACAACGCATCGGCCGCGCTCTTCGGCGATGCCCCGCGTAGCAGCGAGGACAACATCCCCGATGACTTCAAGTTCGGCGGGTCTGTCGCAGAGGCGACGATCGATATTCGCAACCAGTTCATTCGCAAAGTGTACACCATCCTCACGGTACAGTTGCTCACCACGGCCGTCGTCAGCGGCTTTAGTTTTTGGAGCGATGGCTACAAGACTTGGATCCAGTCGCACCCAGGTCTCGTCTGGGCCTCGGTATGTTAAACTTGTCTTTCTCTCCCAGTACGTAAAATGTTTATGAATGATGCAAGCTAACGTGATGATGCTTACAGCTTTTCGGCTCCATGGTTTTCATGGCTCTGACCTATTGGAAACGCAAGTCCTACCCGACGAACCTACTATTTCTCTCCGGATTCACCCTGCTCGAAGCCTACACCATCTCAGTTATCGTATCCTTCTACAAGACACAGATCGTGCTTAACGCTGTCATCCTGACTGGAGGCATATTCGTCTTCCTGACGCTGTTTGCCTGCCAGACCAAGTACGACTTCACTTCCTGGATGCCGTACCTGTTCGGTGCGCTCTGGGGTCTCCTGCTCTTCGGCTTCATGATGATGTTCCTTCCCAGTAGCAGCACCGGTGAGCTCATCTATGGCGGACTGGCCGCTTTAATTTTCTCAGGTTATATCTTGGTCGACACCCAACTCGTCCTCCGCAAGCACCACGTCGAGGAGGAGATTGCTGCCGCGATCAGCTTATACCTGGACATCATCAACTTATTTTTGGCCATTCTACGCATCCTAAACAGCCAGAGTAACAACTAGACAAGTTGAGAGGGTTGGTGAGAATGATATCAGTTGTAATAATACGAACATTAAGTTAAATACGGAATTATAGGTTTCCTTTCGCAAAGAGGGCAGACGCAAAGGTCATTTTTGAGAAAACCAGCTGTCCCAGACGTTATGGTAGGGCTTGTATTGTTTCCCTTTGTTGTTGTATGAGTTTAGGGAATGGCGTCTTAGGGGGTAGCAACTTGAGTTTAGTATTAAGGGTCGGGTTGCTGAAACTAGGAATTTGGGTTGTTCCATGGTATAGGTAGTTAGTTACGTCGGGACAGTCAGACTCCTAGCTAGTATAAACGTTTCTTTTCCAAAGCATCTTGATACCTAAAAACTGCGAATAAGTATAAAATTTACAATCCTAGTGATAAAATCAAGATTTTGTCAGTGTAGGAGAGTGGTATAACGAAATAGTGTACTAGCTCGGTATTTATTTTCACCTATACTTCTACGAGAGCGTCTTTGCAGCATAGTTAGCAATATAATATCATCATTAGGACAAGCAAAAACCTAGATCGTAAACATGACCATAATAGACATCAAAGAAAGCTCATATTGATATCTGCATTAGAAGGCACTAATACTAGGAGAAAAGGGGCATAAAAGTAGAAAAGGCTACATAGTTGGCACTGGTAAAACGGACATCGACTCGCAAAAGATACAAAGGTAGGCTAACTGTCTCCTCTACCACCTTCAGTTTGTCCACAGGACGACGTGTCATTAGATATGAAAAATTGGGAAGGTAAACACTGCTTCCCTTTCCCACTGTGCCATCATTCCTCTTCCGGAATTGGGCATGCAATAATTGTAAGGGGATATCAACTCTGGCTTTTATTCCTGACAAGTTTTCACCAAGCCCTTTGCTATTCCGCATCCCACGCAATCATTAATTTTGTTAGATTTTCGTATAACGCGTCATCTCGAATGGCTTTAAGGGGTCAGGGACTAGGGGATATCAAACACCCAACGCCACAATCCGTACTGTTAGCTGGCCACCGATATACCAGTTAGTAGGAGATAGGAAAGATGTCGTTCTAGGATGATTAGTTGGCTTCCTGTTCGCCATTCGCCTCCGGTGTGCCTGCGGCGGCAGCGGCCTCTCGTGCCATTCTCGCCTCGATTTCGCGTAGTTGGGACTCGCGAGCTAAAAGTTCCTGTCGTTTTTCGTTGATCTCACGCTGAACCTTGACCTCGATTTCGCGGAGCTTCTCCTCTTCTCGGCGAAGTTGCTCTTCCTTTAGACGGACAGACTGGGAAGCTAAATCCTCAGGGTTCATGGAAGAGTCACTATATAGTACGTTAGAAAATAGTCATAATAGTTCGCCAAAGGTGACTTACACTCCAGCACCACCCTCAACGCTCTTGCTGAGTTTCTCAGTACGGTAATTCTCGTATAGGAAATCGTGGGTAATCTCCTTCAGATCGGCGAGATGGCTGTGAAGGAGAGCTGATCGAATGGCTAGGAAGTCGGAGTGACGAGGGTTGTCAACCTCAACAACACCCCAGGGATATTGCCGGGCTCGGACTTTACGGCCGCCAATCTCGATAACATCCTCGGAGCCGACTATGGCAAAGGGCATCAGACCTCTGAGCTCGGCGTTCTCTTCAACGGTATCCTCGTCATCCTCTTCGATATCGTAGGGGAAATTGTACACGGGGATTCGGTAGTGCTCAATGTCCTCCATAACAAGCTTCTTCGACTCGGCCAGCTCGGCGGGGGTCAGCGAATCGGCACGGCCAATAACGGGGATGACGTTGACACGAGGAGCAAGGCGCTTCATCAGTTCGATGTCGAGTTCACGGAGACTGCAGACAATGAGTATATAATAACGTTACTGGTCAGGAAGCAGCACATACCCATGACCAGTGGGAGTAATAAAGTATAGCATAGCATGTACTCTGTTGTCCCTGAATCTGGGGTTTCGCTTGATACGCGACTCCTCGGCCAAGATGTCGTCATATTGTCTCTCGAGATATCCAACAATCTCTGAGAAGCTACGGATGAAAAGTATTAGTGGACGTTGTAGTTAGTTGTTGTTCTTAGATATTAAGTCGTACCTTGCTTCATTGTCAATTTGGTCACCAAAACCCGGGGTATCAACAATGGTCAACGAAATACGGGTGCCCTCTTCGTCCAATTCGAGCTCTACAGTAGAATGTTAGAATGTTCCTATTACTCCCTGGGATAAGCAATAAACTAACCAACAGTGATAGGCTTGATCTTGACACCATCCTCGACGTGAGCAGCAGTAGCATCGTCAGAATCTTTGTGGGTCAACACACTCTTGCTGCAGAGAGTGTTGACGAAAGTTGTTCTTCCTGAATAGTAAGAGCTACGATTAGCATTTTCGTTATGCTGGGTGGTTGATAACTTGATGGTTTGAGGGAGATGGTACGTGGAACGCGTTAAGACTAAGGGGAGCTATGTTATACCTGTTCCTGAAGCACCGCAGACCATCAAGCAGAACTGAATTCCCTTCTTGACGTTCTTCTTTCGGCGCATCATCTTCTGTGAACGCATCATGATTGATTAGCAGCTACAACGAGATTATACAACTATGGTGGATGTGGAAGACGAGAGTAGGATAAAGATGCAAATAACAATGCAAAGTGACTTTGCAAGCATGGAACGCGAGGTTCGTTTGGTTGCAGCGTGATAGGGGAGACTCACCGCTGGGGACGACATATTAGGCTAAGGCTTGGGTTTCGCAATTGGGTGATTAGGTCCGCTAGCAAAAAGAATTGAAATTACAATGATTGACGATGGTAGGTTTCGTCAAACGGAACGGGATCTTCGCAAATGGGGGTATCTAAAAACGGCGTTGTGAAAGGGGGGGTGTGATCACAGCTTGGGTGTTGATGAAGGAAACCAAAGAAGATTTGAGAAATGTTTAGGGATTCGCTTCGCCAAAGCTGTTGATGGCTGTCTCCTTCCCTCTTCTCCAGAAAAAAAGTGCAATTTCAACACCACAAAACGGTTGCTACAGAGGGGACCAGACAGGGGGTTATGGGGCCACTAGAAAGGCACCAAATCAGAGCACGGATCACTTTGTATCTCCCCCGAATTCAGGGGCTCAGGCTTTGATAGGTACAGCAAGAGCTAATGGGAGGTACTAAGGTACATAATATTTAATTGGATAGGTGGACAAGCCAGGGTCGACCCAGCACTTACTTCCCCATGTCAAATTAACACGAGGCTGGAGATGCAAGAGAGAACAGGTAATTCAACCGTAACTTCCACGCACTTCATTGTCTTTTAAAGTTCCAAATACTAAATTTACAAGTACCTAGGTACATTATCTATGATGAAAAATTAGTGGAAGACTGGCAGCTAAGGTCATAGTAACAGCCACAGCTTCAGTGGTTTATACTGTAACGCCACTAAATAAAAGGTTACGAATAGGTAGAGGAACGGGAAGAGCTCTCAGACCATTCCTCCCCTATGTACAAAACAATGGCCGGGGGCGCGCCGACCTAATAAAACCTAAAGCATGTGGTCCGTGCATATACATCTTTAAATCTCCATAGCATCTTATGTACCCATGGAACTCTCACGTGTACTGTACCTGCGCAACATATTACGCCCCATCCTAAGTAATCGCCTGGACCAGACTTGTGATGATAATCAACCAACTTCATCGGTTCAAAGGCTTACCATTCTCTCTCATTCTCATTCAAAAGCTTGTATAGATCCAGTATCTGATCCTCCGAATTATATCATTCCTAATTCGTTCGACGTTTCATCAGCCTTGACTCATCTCTGGTGCCGTTGGCTGCCTGCATGTAGGACAGGTACTGGGAAAGCTTAGGCAGGCCAGTGCTTATCGTCGCATTCCATCTATAGGTCCGTTTATCTAAAGGCAGTCCCAACGGAAAGCTTCACGAATGTGCGATATAGCAATGATCTGGGATACCGAGACTCTACCCGAACTCTCTGGTTTCTTTTGAGACTCAGCATCATTCGTTCGTTTCGTTTACGTCGTCTATTGTGGTAGTCGTGATCGTCGTGGTCATCGCTCTCGCTAGCCTACTTTATTTATTCTTAGTATCAGCGTAGACTTATAAAATCGCCATCATGAATACTCGACCAGTTATCGAAAACCCCAGCGAGCATGCTGCTCTTTCTGTCACCTTCAATCATGACGCAAGTCGATTTGTTGTTGGTTTAGATTCGGGGTTCTGCAGTATGTTTTCGACGGCATACCTTTTAACTTATACATTTCACTCACATACATGTTTGATAGTCTTCCTCTCAAATACTTGCCAAATACAAACAGCAAGAGGTATGTTATGACGCCTACCTGTTTATTAGATAAAATCAATCTTACAAGCGTTAGTATTCAATGCGGGCTTAGGTCTAGTCCAGATGATGGGCAACGCCAATTACCTTGCTCTTGTTGGTGGCGGCCGCTCGCCCAAGTTCCCACAGAACAAGGCCATAATATGGGATGATAGCAAAGGCAAGATAGGCCTTGAAATAGCTACCCTTACTGCTGTTCGCGGCGTACAGATTTCTAAGACGAGGATTGCCGTCGTTCTGCAGAACAGCGTACGCCTGTATGCTTTCCAGAAGCCCCCTACGCCACTCGCTATATATGAGACTACAAACAATTATCTCGGTCTTTGTTGTCTAACGGAGAGACATTTGGTTATCCCCGGTAGAACGCCGGGCCAAGTTCACGTTATACAGTTCGACACAGGCAGCGTTAGCATCATTCCTGCACATTCTTCAAGTTTGAGAGCGCTGCAACTAAGTTCAGACGGGGATCTACTTGCAACAGCAAGCGAGAAGGTAGATTAAATTATTACTTAATTAATTCATTATGCTAATCATGTACAGGGCACAATTATCCGCATCTTTTCCACTAATAGGGGCGCGAAGCTTGCTGAACGACGTCGTGGTAGCGAATCTGCTACTATATACTCCTTACGTTTTAGTCCATCCAGTAACATGCTAGCCTGTACCTCGGACAAAGGTAGCTTACACATCTTCGATGTTCCTAACCCACGTAATCAACAGTTTACACCACCACCTTCTTCAGCTCCTAGTGGAAGCAATCCTAGTACTGAAGCAAGGAATAAATGGGGTATCCTGAGCAACATACCATTTGGTCCGTTTGCTGACATCTATTCTTTTACCTCCACACCTTTTGAAACAGGGGAAGAGCCCCTTCTTCCTACCCCTCGAAATCATTCAGGGGGGGAGACTGTACTGGGCACTAGTAGGCCAGTGAAGGGGGTGATCGGCTGGATAGACGAAAGCACTCTAATCGTCGTGGGTGCCGGGCAAGATGCGCGTTGGGAGAAATTTGTTCTCAGGGAGGGCGAAGACGGAAGATCCGTGGTCGTCAGGGAAGGCTGGAAGAAATACCTAGGGAATTAGGACGAGCTCAAGGATTATTACGAGCATAGTCCCAAGCATAAGCTACATGAGTACCTAGGGGAACCATATAAGAGGTACTGATTTGACATGGTCATGGGGAATCGGCGTGGAGTATATGGATTCGCGGGTACGGCGTTATCTGGTCAGAGGTGGCGTTAGAAATCATGTTGCACTAGGATATGGGCTGGCAAGATTACCTGACTAGCGTTGACTTTTGGGGGGTATCTTTATTAAGCGATTAGACAACATCGTCAATCTCTATACAAACGTGGAGACCTGCTTCTACTTCGTCTACTTTTACCTTCTCGGTCCTTATCCCTATCCTCGTCATCGTAGCGACGGGAATGCTTCTCACGCCTGTCCTTGTCATTTTTGCCCTTATTGTCTCGGTCTCTTCGTTCCTTATCATGGCGTCGATCGCGATCGCGGTCGTCGTCCCGTCTTTTCCGCTCGCGATCTCTAGAATCATTCCTTCGTCTTGGTGTCTCATCCCGTTCTCGACTACCTTTTGCAACTGGTGTTTCATCCCGTCTAGATCTCCTATGGCGATCGCGCTCCTCGGTGTCCCTATCATCTCTTTTAGATCTATGGGAATGGTGGTGATGCCGATGTTTATCTTTCCTATCCTTTCCCCTCTTACGCCCGCTCTCCCTTTTTAGTGCCAATTCGACTTCTTTCTTCTTCTCCTCGATCAAGAAGCCCTTCATAGGGTCATCCTCATCGTGCTCTTCGATAAGCTTCGCTAGTTCTATCTCCTCTTTGATCATCGGGCGTCTCTCTTCTTCCTCTTCCTCACTAGCGTCTTCCATATCTACATCCTCACCCTTAGCGGCCTTCTCGCGGCGCATGATGTCTTCCCAACCAACTTTAAACTCCTCGGGGTCCTCATCGTCGCGGGCCTTGTATCGGGCGTGGTCGACCCTGACTAGGCGGCCGTTAATCTCGGCGCCTCCTAAGTTGTCCACGGCTAAGTCGGTACTGCGCTGATCCTCGTACTTTAGCCAGCCGAATCCTTTGCTCTTGCCCGTTTCCTTGTCCCGCGCGAGCTTTAGGAAGACGGGCTCTCCGTACTGCGAGAATATCGTGATGATGTCACCCTCCGACAATTCGTACGGCAGACCACCAAAGTTGACAAAGGCGGTGTCGCGGTAGTCGGTGTGCCAGGAGGCTTCTGGCGATCTAGTTTGGTGTTAGTATAAAGGGTTTTGCAATGCGACTCAGGAGAAACAAAGAACTTACACCCCATTCTCAATCTCGCGTTTGTTTAGCGCTTGGATGGCACGTATCTGGTTCATAATGTCGCATTCAACTGTTGATATTCTAATGAATTTTAGAAAAAGATATAAGACAAAGACAAACAGGTAGCTTGGGAAGGCTACGAAATAGTAAGAAAGGTTACTTAAGAAGCTTAGCTGCAAGGCTGATTAATGACGGGGATTAGAATAATTAGAAAATGCTGTCATGACACTTTGAGAGCTCTAAACGCGACGCAAGGTACCTGTACCGCAATTTGTAGGCCGGTACCTTGTATGTAGTGTACTAGAAAATGAGAATCTGGTCTAAGCTTAAAAGGGCAATTACCCACATAATTTCTTCCAGGTACGAACTACCCTCAATGTCGTACTTAGCTGCTTCTACATATGAAACCGGGGCCCTAGAACAAAACCCCTGCGCTGGAGAAAACGTCGGACCGTTGAAGCCTGAAGGTCCACTAAAATCTGGCAGTGATCTAGGCCGGTGTTAATCAAATGCTTAGAGCTTCAAGGGGAATAAAAGTAACATGTAGCTACATGTTTCTTATGTTGAAAACGAACCAGCCTTGAAGAAGAGACCCATTGATCCAAACTATCTCACTTTTGTAATTTCTCCCCCAGGTGTCTCATTTCGTTGAATAGAAGGAAAAGAAAAAAAAAAAAGGGAAGACAAGTCTTGGTGACATTTCAATTTAGCGATCGCCTTTCCTCCAACACGGGTTCGCCTAAAATTCGACCTTAAGACGCGTTCTAAGGGTCTAATAGTGATCGCAACCTCAACCCCATTACGTTAAGGGCAGCCTCAGACGCATATAGATCTCCTCCAATGCTACCACCAATCGACCGAAATCAAACATGACGGCCAATTCGAACCGGTTCTCCACGTATACGAGTACCTCAGTCGGTACCGGTTCGGAGGGAAAGAAGGATGACCAAAAAAAGGACATGTGGAGCTCTATGCTCGACTCCGTCGCCAGCGGCAAGAGGTTACCTGAAAAGAACTTATTGGTTCTTGGTATGAACAAGTTTCTCTGAACCGATAGCTATAGAGGGGCGACTAACAAGATCTCAGGGGGTTCCGTAGATTCGCAACGAGACTTCCTTGAAGCCCTATCGAGTAACGACGGCCGGAAAGGTATAGATCGGAATAGTCAAAAGATCCCCCCAATAGCCAATAGTTTTGCCCTTGGATATACATATTACAACGTCTTAGACGCAGATCAGGAGGGTCAGTTTATCGAGATCCGCGTAGTGAAGTTTTCTGTGCTGACCGAAACTAGACTTTCTAGCACGCATATCCCTTTACCTCCTTACTAGTCCATCTCCTTCCTTTACTGAGCTCATTAAACCACTTTTGACTCCGCAATCGATTGCAAATACATTAATAGTAATACTGCTCGACTGGTCCCAACCTTGGCTATGGATGCGACAACTTCGAGAGTGGTTGTTGCTGTTGCGAACCGTCATAATGTCCCTTAGTTCTGAGTGCAAGGAAACGATGGAGGAGGTAATGATCGGCTGGAGAGACCGTGGGCGAACAGGTGGATCCGTGAATCTAGATGGCACCGGCGCAGTTGCGGCAGAAGGGGACGTCGCACTACCGCTCGGGCCAGGAGAGTGGGAAGACGCTCTGGGCTTACCACTCTGCGTTGTATGCCAGAATGTGAGTTACTCTGGTTCAATTTGCAGCTATGGCACTAACCGACATCACTAGTCTGAAAGAATAGACTACTTGGAAAAGACACAAGCGTGGAAAGAGGAGAAGTTCGATCTCGTGCTTCAATATCTAAGAACGGTGTTATTAAGACGTACGTCCACGGTACAAAATTTACCCTTACAGTCTTACTAATTTGCAACCAGACGGTGCTTCTCTTATTTACACAACACCATCGATGGCCTCGCCGCTGCAAAGTCTTATTCACGCTAGTCTTGGAATCCATTCGTTACTGAAGCGCGGCTCCTTGAAAGCTAACGTCATTGACCGAGACAAGATTGTAGTACCCCCTAACTGGGACTCCTGGGGTAAAATTCGAGTATTACGGGATGGTTTCGACGTGGAAACGGTTAGCGAAGGTTGGTCGATAGACCTCGACCAACCTTTTCCCACGACAAAGACCAACGATGCCAACCACCAAGTAGGTGGTGACACAAGCGAAATGGGCGAGCCCGAAGGATCTTCCGTTGCACTCTACGAAGAACAAGTCCAAGACACAAGTCTAGATGCCTTACAATTAGCTCAGGGGAACCAAGATACGAGCAAACTGGAAGTACCCTCAGTCGACACGCAAGCCTTCCTTGCCAGTCAGTTAGAGCGACTTGATCAACAGAAAAAGATAGATGAGAAGACTGGTAAAGTTAACAACAACACATTCGCACGAGAAAACCCCGATGAAATGATCAGCGATCATATTGGTCCCGTGCAGTTTAATATGGGTGGTATTCAAGTGGATGCCGACGATATGGTACAACGGCTTAAGGTAGGTTTCCATTTGTATCTCGAGGCCATTAATAATTGCTAATTCATCAACAGGACCGTCAAGCCTACGGACAATCCCCCGAACCCCGCCCGGACGAAGAGTCCCGGATTGAGGAAGGAGGAACACAAGTAGATACGGATACGTTGGCCAAATTCTTCGGCAATCTAATGAATAGAAAGCCAACAGCTGGCGGGGGTGTAAGCAAGACGTGATGGAAATAATGATGCTACGGGTGCAACACGATGAAGGTTCATGACCGAGTTGCATGTAGCTGGCAATGACGAGATCATTCGTTCAATGTGAATAGCTCGAACGTGGAGACCACAAGGGGTAATCCCGACGCATCACGCTCAATCTAATGAGCAACGCATCATGGTTCCTAGCAGGTTCATACAGAACTCTCTTTCTTTCTCATTTTTACAACCCCGTGTAAAAAAGGGGGTCGTGTTGGTATGTAGGTATGACGGGAGGACAAGGAGGGTGAAGCAGTAGAGCAAGGGACTACCAGGGCAGGATTTTTTTTTGGTGAAAGATAAAGAGGAAGAGACTCGCATCAGCACTTGGAGTTATTGGCTGTTCGTCTATCTGAAAACATCCCGTCTTTCCGTCCGGGAGAGCGAAAATCCCTTGCATCTATGGTTCGATACTGTAGAATAGATACCCCTTAAACAATACGAAGAAAACAGAAAATATGTAAAAACTACCATTTTGCCTGTTATGATTGCAGTTAGTGTCCACTTGATAATTGATACTTATTTAGACTTGATTCGAAACCTTCCATTCTTATAACTCGTTCTCGTTCACTTACTTGAAGGAGGTTTACTCGGAATTGCGTAGGTAACTATCGACAGGACAAGAACTCGATAAACCATTTCTGGCCCGATAGAATAGCAGGCATCAATGTAGAAGAGTAAAGTAGCAAGAAACGAAATAGCATATGCCAACAAACCTGTCTACACTTAACCCTTCTTCGAAACACTAGATCCCCAAGGGCCCAAATACTCAACCCTCCTTTTCACGTCACATACTAACAATACTCTTACGGTGACCAACTCCGAGGGAAATAAGTAACCTCCTTAAAGTCACCCCAACGACTCAGCCCACACACGACCATCACGAAAACATTAAAAACGCGATGACATAGACATTCAACCTAACGTTCATTTCATGCAAAATTCCAAGACTGTCGTTCTCGCCCCCTACACTTCATACACATATGCAACCAACCAACCAACCAATTAATCGCCAAGCAATGCAGAAAATAATATAACACGCACATGAACCTATCCCCGTAAGCCTTGTGCCGTAGACGCCCCCCTAGTATCTACCTCGATCCATGCTCCCTCCCAAGACGAAAAAGAGAAGCCTCCATTTCATACATCTCTAGATACGTTTTCCACTAATGCTTATTCGATTTTTTTTTTGTGGAAACCCCTCAGCCGTGGAGTACCTACTCGTGGGCCGGGTTGACCAGGACTAGGTCATTGTGACCTAATTTGCGATATGTGCCATCCGGAGACCTATTGTACACGCCTTGTTCTCGTGGGAAGTTTGAGACTCGGGAATCTCGTCTGTTAAGCCAGGCATTTGGTTTTCCTGGAGCATGATAACGAAGCGTGAATAAGGCCGCGCGAGGCGCCTTATAGAATGCCTTTAATTTCCTGGGTCCGGGCTTCTCCCCAACTACGAGCCAGTGCTGACCGCCTAGTTTCCAAGGGATGATGCCGCATAGCAAGCCAGGAAACAGGTTCGGATGCTCCAACATCTCGACGCCAAAGGCATTGACGGTTTCCTTCGCCAGATAGGTATACTGCTCGTCGCCTAGGAGTCCACCCAATCTGAACAGGTTCGAAACGGATACTGCATTGACGGACGGCTGCGAGGTATCCATAGCGTCCTTTATACGAAGCAGCGTGTACGGCGCACCCAAAGCTGTGGAGTAGAAGGCCCCGCATCTAGCGTTTGCCATCGTAGGTGCTGGTGTAGGATTGTCGTAAAAGAGTTTGATCTGAAGCTGCTGTAACTCATCAGCCCATTCAAGCCACGATTCGTCCGCCGTAGCTTGGTATAGTTCGATGAGTCCTTCAATCAATAAAGCATAATCCTCCGCGAACGCCTCAATATATGCTTGGCCGGCAGAATATACTCTATAGAGGATTTTCTTGTTGCTATCCCAGAGCGCGTTTTTAATGAACCAAGCTACATCATTAGCTACTTGCAAATACTTTTGCCCCTGTCTTGATACATCAGCCTCGGTGCTAATTAAAGCTGAGGCTGTTCGTGTCAGGGCAGCAATTGCCATGCCGTTGTACGCTGTAACAATTTTCGTGTCAACCTCTGGATGAACTCGTTCATTCTGCCGATGAGAGCGCAACTTCGCCTTAGCTGCATGAATTCGCTGTTTTACCTCGCCTTCCGAGATCCCGAGCTGCTTACTTAGCCTCGTAGAGTTCTTAACGATATGGAGGACATTTTGATTAAGGAACTCATCGTGAGGATCGTATTCGCGATCGACGTTGCCATGCTCCTGGACGTTCCAGTACGCAGCGGCAATCGCGCTTTCTTGTTCATCGCCAACAATAGCGTCAAATTCCTTCCTAGTCCACAAGTAGTAGGCTCCATTTTGCATAACTTTATCTCCCTTTCGGTTATACGAGTCCGCTGCCTCGCTGGTGAAAAATCCACCATTTGGCGACAGCATTCTATCACTAACGATGTAATCGGCAACTTCAGTCACCACATCAGCAAATTCGCCGTCCTTAGTGCCTCCAGACATAAGCCAAGCATCTAAGAAGAGACCAAGGAGCAGGGCATTGTCTATCAACATCTTTTCGAAGGCTGGTAATGACCAGTCCCTAGTAATAGAATAACGATGGAAACCACCCCCGATATGATCATGCACCGCGCCGTTTGCAATCCTTCGAAGGGTATGCAAACCCATACCACTAATATATTTACAGTCGTTTGGTCCGACTACATCCTGGACGACTTTCGGGAACCGGGTAGCTCTTAGAAGTAGAGAGAGCTTTGCTGGGGTTAAGAACTTATCCTCGAGGCCAAAGCCACCGAACATGGGATCAAAGGTCTTTGTGATCCGTTCGTATGCCTCTTCGATCTGATCCAAGTCGACCTCACCATAAACTTCACGGGGATGATCAGAACCTGAAGTAGCTGTTTCTACTTGAGTAGAAGAAATAGATGGTAGGAGATCATTCCCTGCGTGGTTCAGGGTACCCTCCGCCGAGAGATGACTCAGTTCGACCATCATCCTTTTTGCCTCTTCGCGAACACGAGATTCTTCGTCTAACCACGAAGCGAGGACTTTCTTAATAACGATAAGCCAGTCGAGAGGCTTCTCAACACCGTCATTTTCCGCCCCTACGTCATCCTGGACACCAGGCGCGGCCCAATAAGTCCCGCTGAAGACGGGTTCCAGCTCTGGAGTGAGAAAGACATTTAGTGGCCAACCTCCGCTTCCACTGAGAGACTGATTGTAGCTCATATATATGTTATCGATATCGGGCCGTTCCTCACGATCGATTAGAATAGGCACGAAACTCTCGTTGAGTAGAGAGGCGACTTTGGGATTAGAAAAAGACTCTTGCCTCGTAATGTGGCAGTCTGGAAGCAAATCAGCATTGTTTAGCTCTAATACTAGCTGTGTATCAACATACAATGAGACGCGAGGAAGCCGATACTAAGGAATATCAATTTGTTCTCTTTCTTTGCTCGGCTAATCGCATCGTCGTCTAGGAGTTGCCAGGCAACCAGACTATCGGAGTGCGCTCGTACGTAGGGGCTCTTGCTATCTCGAACACGATTTCTGAGTGGCTTGAACTCAGTAATTGGCTGTCCAGCTCCGGATGAGATAGCTGTGTCACTCGAGTTGTTCTCGGAAGCTGACAGCTTTGTTCCAGCCTTCTCGGGCTGCTGGAGCTGTGCTGACATCATCTTGACCTAAGTTGACTAACAGAATCACGCGAGAGCTTGTAGGTTGGATATTTAGTGAGAAAATGAAGAAGAAGGATGAGATGTAAGAGGTTGCTAGTAGTAAGGTTACCAGTAGTAAAGCTGATCGCAGTTAATCGCAGTTAACCACAGTTGACCAATATTCCTCTGCTTCTGCCTTGCAGGCCATACACCGAATTCACCAGCTCCCACGAGCCTACATTACCTGTAGGTTGCTTGCAATAATAAGGCTCTTTGAGGGGTTGATCAGCCTAGTGGCAGTTCTAGTGTCAATCTTAGCGGTTCTCACGAAGCGCAATCTAACCAGAAGTAATTTCTGTGTATGACTCGCGAGAAATACAAGAAGGTTGGATCTCCAAAATGGAATAATTTGGAAAATTATAAGAAGTGACAGGTAAAGAAAGTTACGGTAGCAGGTGGGAATCTCGAAAAAACTACCCCCACCATAGGTAAAATATTGAATTCTTCAGCTGCGCAACCTACCTAAGGTACATGTACATAGTGAGGTAGGTACCTACTATCAGGAGGTACACAGGGTATGGGTATAACCAAACATGATGTAAGTGGGTAAATACGTACCTAATCTAATCTATCAAGACGTGGGGTAACTCCAACTTGCTTGCAACAAGCCACACCCATATATAGACCCCGAAGCTACCGAAGCTACCAAAGCTACCGAAGCTGCCGAGAAAGGTCCACCAAATATAACACTTGCACCTTTTCTACTTCGACTTCACTTAGATACCTATAAGACATATCTCATTCTTAGCAACTAAAATTTAAAATCTATAAATGAGATCCTATATGATTGTATATCTTTGGTTACTATATAATACCTTTATATTTCTTACAACAAGGAAACATAATACAAGACTCATCTTTCCAATCTATGCGATACTCTGAATATAGTGTACAGTTTTATTCCCAACTGGATAATACAAATGCCAGCTTAAAGAACAAGCTACCGCTTCAAGAAGATTTAGCTTTCGAAGTTGCGACAGAAAATCCCTGTCCCACCGGCACCGAACTGGCAGCCATCACATCCATAGCCACCTTATCAATCCACACGTCATTAGACGGCGCATTGCCCAGCGCAAATGAGAAGACGAGCTGGAGCATATGATCGCTAGACGCTGTCGTGTAGGGAAATTCTACACGTGTCCAGTTTGTAGCTCCCTTGTCCGCGGCATCTACGCGGTGCGCGACCTCACCATTAGCAAACAAGTTGACGTACGAGTTCGTGGCACGCCCGCTTCCAAACCGCACCCAGAATGAGACGGCCCACGCCATACCCGGTGAGGCCGGGGGCGAGATCAGCGGACTGACTAACCGCAGGTTCGCTCGCAGGTCATCCGTCTGCGAGTTCCGCCGCATGTGCACATGAAACGCCCCGCACGACCCGTTGGCTCCGGGGCGTGCTATTGAGTAACTCGTTGACATAACGTCCACCATGTCGATACTCCACGGGGACAGACCTTGCTCAAAGTCGCCATTTTCGATCATCTTGGAACTAGAGGTGCTGGTGCAGGACGGGGCTGCGCTAGCTGTTAAAGTTGATGGAGTGCTTGATGTGTGGTTTAACGAACGCGACGAACGCGACGAACCGCCGAAGACCGAGGCGGATATGAAATCTTCGGTGACGCTTGGAGCAAAAGTTTGGGCTGTCGAATTGGGGAAGTAAAAGGAAGAATTAGGACAAGGAGTTGATGAAGTTGGCGTTGGCGTCGGTGTGCACGTCGTATCAGTCGAAGTTGAGCCATGCAATGAAATCGAGGCATCCGTCACGGATTTCAACGATATTGTCGAATTAACACCAATAGGATCACCGGACGAAGATGTACTCATAAACGACGATGTCGATGTGGAGGTTGGATCAAATAAGGTTGATGACGCTGTGCTAGCGTTAACCGAGGTAGGTAATCCCACCCCTGAAGTATGAGTTGTATTCGTCCAAAGAGCCGAGCTACTACTTGATGCAAGGCTCAATGAGGTTGTGGCCGGGTGAGAACTATTCGACGTGAGTGTCGATAGCGTTTTGGACGACTGTCCCCCAGGAAATCCCGGGCGTGTGCTCGACAGTGTGTTTGACGGTGTGCTAGAGGCCTTTAAAGAAATGGACAAGGGACCATCCGAGATCGACGCCGTAGAAAGTGAAGCCGTGGTTATCGAAGTGGAATCAGCGAGGGAAATGGTGAGTATCGATCCTGGGTCGGAAACTGTCGCTTGTGTGCTCAAAGCTGGGTCCTGTGACGAGGGGTCACCCCCAGCGCCGCCAGATACTGTAGATGTCGACGAAGATAGCCCCTGTGAAACTGAAGACCCAAGGTTCGAAACACTCGATACCATCGAATTAAATACGCTAGAGGGAGACGCACTGCTCAAATGAATACTGCCAGTAGGTGCGCCTGGTGTGGCCGGTGTAAGAAATCCAGACGACGACTGACCATTGCTTCCTGGAGGAATAGCGGAAGTAGTGAGCGTTGTCGGGGTTGGTATAATAGTACTAGAAAACGCCGTAGCAGGTTGAAAAGAAGGACAGGCGACGCCGCATTGACAAGCTGAAATGTAGGCTCGCTTGTTGGTATTACCACACTATAATACTTGAAGTCAGCGATTATTCGTCTCTGGACTTATGAGACCATGACAAAGAAGCAATAAGGGGAAATAGGGTTGCGCGATATTATACGTACTGCGGCCGTTGCTTGTGACGGATAATTCGTTGCGCCATAGTGCCCGATGGTTGAGCAATAGTTCAAAGCTTCTGCGAGAGCAAGCGGAGAGTCGCATGGGAAAAGCGCGTTATAACAACTACCGGGCGATTAATACTCGTCCAGGACTACTTCGATACCAGAGGCATACTCATCGTGTTTACAGCCGGACTGAGCGTGGACGGCAAATATGAACAGACATAGGATCCAGCTGGCTAGCTGGTTTGACATGGTGGCGAACATGTTTGGTAAGTAAAGAGCGGAGTCGGGTAGGTATATGAAGTAAGTATATGAACAGCACGTCTAAGATATAATGAATGACTTATTTATACACGACAGCAATAAAAGCTTCTCTGCTGCGAGAGACCTATCCGTTTTATACTTCTATCATGAAGCTTCTTCCAGATGTATCATCACTGAATCATCCATCACGGTATAGGAACACAAGGTCTTCGATCAATGAATTATCAGACAGACCAGTACGACCCTCAGCCTCACTCGCAGCTCTGTCTCCCCTCCAAACCCGGGCTCGCGATATACATGCGACGCACTCTGCACGACCGTTTACGCCAGCCGCGACCCAAAACAGGGCCATGGTCCAAGACACCCAGGTGCCGTCGAAGCGAGCGCTCGTCCCACGACGGTGGTGTTTACGGCAGTCTTAGTCAGGACACGCTGTTATTTCTCGCGAGATGAACCTGTCTTAGCAACTGCGGAAATCTAGAACCCTGGAGGCCGTAGGCCCGAGACAATTCCGGTATTCTTGCTTGTTGGAGAGATTCGCGATATAGAGTCGTGTATTAAATGTCTCAAAGCCTGGTAGACGTGGTGGAAGAGCTGAGGAGGTAGGTTAAGGGGGTTAGTTCGTGGATGACGGAGATCGAAATTAAACATATGGAGGTGGTGTCGGCTGATAGGGGCGAGTTTGGCTTGGGTATACCGTGTCGTTGGTCTGGGGAGGCCTCGCGTTATTATGGTATGGAGGGAGAGGGTCGTTAGGTGTCTGTTTGGATACTATCGCCTGTGTAGGTTAGGTATTGCAGATACAGTAGCTAGATGATAATGCTTTAGCTATCATGAGTCTTGAGGTGGGTGAAGCTGTGTGATAGTGTACAAGCCGTGATATATCTGGTTGCTTCACATGTTCTTTCAACTTGATCCTCGCTCGTGTCACTCGTCGATGGAAATATTATTTCAGTCTAAACTAGTATACGTAGGTATGTATATGCGGTTGTAGTTGTCTTTGAAACACTTCCTAGCCTACCATCAATGTGATGCTACCCATTTAATATACTTGACCTTGTATAGTCCGTATGCAGATACATCGAAGTATTAGAAATTATAACTAGTTACTCGAGTAGCACTTCCCATCTTTTAGGAAATTTAAAGAACTTTAGTCTCTATTCTGGATAATTCTTCTCGTATGGACTACGTAGGTTAGGTACTCATTCACATTGCAATATCCCCATAGCTAACGAGATAAGTACCTAACCTATTATTTTTCTTTCCGACGAGAACAATACAAACTCTACCTAAGCCTCACCAAAATTCTACGTAGTGCTCTGTATCTGCAACCTGGAGTTATGTATAAGTTGTATAACACCGTAGCTTTTAAGAAGTACTTGACTGGTACCTCTATATTCATCAGATCCTCCTCCTCGCCTTATGCTATTTGAAATCATCCCCAAGGCGTCGTCCATCGGCCTAGATCATATCATAAATCTCGCATGCATCTCGTGACGATCCCATATTTTCCTTCGTTGCTACCTCATAATAACTCGCCTATGCTCTACAAGCCATCCCAAGTGAGGCATCTTACCATAGTATACATAGGTAGGTAGGTAGATTTTCGGGTATAAGCCAGGGTGTGTATCGCCGATTTCGTGTAACTTACATACCTACATATATACCTACTTACCTACCTCTCATCCCGCGTCATCATCAACAAGGCTCGCGCGCGGGACATCTAATCTGTCCAGTCTTACTTCTCAGCCGGAGATACGGGATTATCACCGGTCCTATCTGCGTCTACACAGCTGCTGCAGTCAGGCTGGCTAGCTACCTAGGTAGCTATATTAACAAGGCGGCGGCTTAGTCTGATCGTTCAACCCTCCATTATTGGACTAATAACGAAAAAAAAAAAATTTTTTTCCGCCCCGGCAACGGGATTCCTGGCAGGGCGATCTCGGCCTTTGGACGCCTTGTACGACGTCGAAAGTCCGATCGCCGTGAGCGATGGTATGAGGTACATAGGTAAGTAGGTAGATAATTAGATAGGTATATACTCCAACGAGGTCCGCTTTGGCACCAAGGGTGTGGTAGAGGTTGATCCCAGAGCCATGTCGTTGGAACTGGCTAGTTGCCGGTGACGTGTGTGGAGATAGGCTGGGTTTAAGTCCTGGTGAAGGGGTGGTTTACGGTACTTACTTACCTAGGTATTTGTGAAGTCGGTGTGAGGGGAACGTGATCTTTTCTGTTGTAGGTAGTAGAGAAAGATCGGTGTTAAGATGTTGCTTGGATATATGGGATAACTTAGGTACCTAGTGGGATAACTACTTTGGTAGTGAACTTAGTAGTCTCGTCATCATTTGGAATCTGTGGGTTATAACGATTGTAAGGCTTAGTAGTAGTAATAGTAGTGGTAGTAATGTGAATTCCGTTAGTGACACGAGACGGGTTTGGACGGTCTTAATTAATCATCATTAATAACATTTCTGGTTGATATACTAATAAGATACTAAGCCGGACATTATAAGCATCATTATTAGTCGTCTCTTAGCTAATAAAATCCCGAACATCTTTAAAGAATTAAGATATTCCCATTCGGCCAGGTCCGTAAGGTAGGTTAGTCGGGACTAGTAGTTACTACTTTGCTAAACTTATGGAGAGTTATATTCCCGTCATATTCCCGTATTCTATTATAATACATGTTCTGCGGACCTCCCTCTTTAGTCACCTTACCCACAAGCACGCCGAACTCTCGGTCCAAATAAGTGGTAGGGTTCTATTGCGCATACCCTCGTACCCTAGACCCTAGACCCTAGACCCTAGACCTTAGGGGTGGGCGATGACTGAAACTCTACTGCTACCCATAAGACGTGATATGTAAGTCAAAAACTCCGTGGCGGGGGAAAGCTCTGTACATATGTGCGATTACTAAAACCGTGATTATACTGAATCAGGACATGCCAAACTCATCCGCATCGGCTCCGCAAAGTGGCGCGTGAGAAAAAAGCCGCCCCCCCGGCTCCAAGCTCTGATGAATCATCAGACGAGATGAGATATACATACATATGTAGTGACCTATACGTATCGATCTCACTAGCTCCAGCGGTAGTTTACTACGGGAATGAGACTATTTGTCTTGTCAGGAAGCATTATACTGCAGTAGTACCTAGGTACAGGTGGTATGTATAATTTCACGATTTGTCATGACAGAGAATTTCTATAGCGCTTTGACATTGGCGATGTGTAAGCCCGCCTGCCTATGTCGGTTTGTTTACTTTAGCCTTACCAGACTATTCTTAATTATGCTTCAAGCAGTTAGCATCTGCGTACTAAGGGAGTCGGTAGTGAGTCGAGCTAATATGTATGCATATTAGATATCGCCATGGAGTTACGTCCGTAGTATAATTGGTAATCACGTCTATGCTGTTTCTAGGTGACATTTCGTGGCCGATCGACGCAAGGGTTTTGATAGGAACCGTAAGCACGTGCATAAACCTCGCGCATAAAATGGGAAAACGAGGATAGCGAGGTGTGTTACTCTATAATAAATAATCGTATAAAATTCGTATAATTAACGAGTATAAACTAACTGGGTATCGTATACGAAATATATACGCCTACTATATTGTACATTAGGTAGGTAAGTAGGTGGGATTAAACGTGCAGTTTCTTAGGTATGTTTTATATTTTATGCATGTTTAAGATCCGCAGATAAGATCCTTTTATGCTCTTTCTCGGGGATTGATAAATAATTATGATGATGATCGGGTCCGAGATGAGCCTTACCCGTCCGAGATTACTACGATTCTGTTTTAGTTTCAAGAGCACAGGCACGCATACACCATGATGGCTATGCTCGTTAGTCCCAAATAATTACACGCATTGGTATCATGATGAATCATCTTCGTCCATTGGGTCGTAAGAATCTTCAGCTAAGAATCAGGCACCGTCCTTGCTAGTCACCGCTGGGCAAATTGGCGCCGTGCGCAGGTATGTTAGACTAAGAAACTTCTGGGCAGCAGTACAGAATAACGTGGGAACCGAGACCAGTCCAGAAAAAAACCCACCGGGATCGGGTCATTTCTCAATCCCGCATCCCGCTGGTTCTCGGACCCCGAATCCGAGTTTTGAAGTTGGTGGGAGGGGGATAGGATAGTTAGTTAGTCAAGATAAAACCCAACAGCGAATTTATGTTCCGGAGCGTTTAGTCCTTTCAATTACATGCATAAGTTGTGTCCACGTGGGTAACTACTTCGTTCCTAATCTCGTTAGGGAAAGGGAATAGAAAGATATAGGTCTTGGGTCGAAGTTGTATGTATGTATGTAAGTAGGACCAGGTCTAGGATGGGTGCTGATGACGAATTAGGTGCTACCGCTACGATGGTACCGCTGCTATTAGCTGCCGTTTTACTTATCGGGGATCGCCCCCAAACGGCACATACAGGATATAGGGCGGGCTGTGGGTTGTCATTGCTCAACTATCGTAGGGTTTATCTGGATAATATGTGCGTGGTGCGTGGTGCAACACCTAATGTGTAAGTCGGGTATTTATGCGGAGGCCGTGTGCTCCCGCACCCGGACAGTTTATTTGTCCAGACGGTCAGGGAGAACAAGCTTAGTATGTAGAATAGGTAGTTATAAGAAAACGAATACGTGGGAATTTCACCGCCCAATAGTTCATACGTACCTGGGTATGTATAAACGCTGAAAATAGGGATGCCGTGTAGGTTATTTCGCGGCATCGTGGCTGAGCTTCACAAAAAACGCATCCGTGACCACGGACTTACATGGTAGTTACTTGAAGGTACTTGATGAATCTATTTCCCACGTTCCCCGAAGTACTTCTTTTTTTTTTGCCTAGGATAGGAACCAAGAATATTGAGGATTGCTAGTGTAACTGACCTGTAGGTTGCTTACGTAGACTTGTTAACTTACTACTTTAATAGGATTTGGGATTGCTGAGGCGATCAGGGGAATTTTGGGGTAAGCAACCAGGTGAAATGGGCGGGAACGGCCTTTGTTTCATGCCGAACCGTTGAAATCATAGCCTGAAATGATATGAAGGGGTTGATAAGCAATAGGGAAGTTAGTTAGTGTAAAATATTTGACGCTTCATTCATCATCCCCCGTCCCTAGTCCATAGTCCACAGTTCACAGTCCACAATCCCCCAGCATGATTCATAATGGTTCACGATTGTTGATAACGCGGGGCAAAACACGGCGGCCAAGCCCCGACTCGCATCGCAGATTGGGGAGATGAACAAAAGCCACCTTTATGAAACAATTGGCTTTTCTTATCTCCGTCTTTACGAATTAAATATCATTATACGAATTTAGATAATTAAACATTCGATTAACATGACCTCATCAACGTCACATTTCACAAGTGAAAAGATTGGCTCATTAGAAAAAATGAAATAAAAAAAATATCAGGCAAGTTAATCATGAACGTGGTCTCATTGTGATATTACTCGTTGCCCGCCGCGACCCGAGCGGGCACAAGAAGCGCCCCTCAAAGGTATGTAACATCAAGGAGGGGCATCAAAGATGTTAGCTATGGACATAACGCTGGAAATAAACCCGCCAACGCCGTAGATGCATTTCCCTCTACCGTAGTTGTTAATACAACGATGGCCGAGATGGCTCTCTCTCTCTCCCCCTCTAGCCGCCCGGTTGCGTCTATAGTTTGGAACCCGACCGCTTCTTCCCCAGTCTTTTCTGTAGTCCAGAGCTGGGTTGCGCATACACCCTTGCAGCTAACCCGTTGAACGCCGTGCAATTATGTGCAAGTGTTGAAGAGAATTCCGGAAACCCCCCTCGTCCCGAGGTGTTGCGAGATATTCATAAGATACTCCTGTATAACCTAAATCCTCATCATGATCGTAATGATTCCATATTGTACCCGGAGTAGATCATCGGATCCCCTACCCCTAACATAACTTCTGGATTCGGACATTGTATCATGTGAGGCTTGATCGTCCCAAATTCGGATTCGACTAACCCTTGGCTGAGCATAATTTCTGCCATATCCATATCCATACCCTGCATATATTGTGGTGTTAAGTCCATAGAACTCGGTCTGCTCATATTCCACGCTGGGTAAGTTGTGGGGATAGAAGGCGATTGGACAGCGAAGAGACTTCTCGACTCGACATCGGATTGCATCGTCTTCACATCGACGTCGTATGACGTGAAGCTCTGTGGTGACATGGTCTGTAGGTTCTGGTTACCTAATATCGCTTTCCTATAATCTTGCTCGAAGTCTGAATGGTCGAGCTCCGAGGAGCTTGCCCGGTCCGTTCTCGTACAATTCGACTCCGTCTCCGATCGGTGTTCCGTCGCATGTGTCTCCTTTTCCCTCTCTCTTTGCTGAACATCTAATTCGGCTGCCAACTTTGCTAGGCCCGCTTCGTCCTCAGGAAAGACCGAGTGAGGTGGGAGGTCGGCGTCTGCATTAGGTCGAATACACCCGAGCTTGGTCGCAATGTTGTGGATGATAGGTTGACCCCTATCGTTGAGCTCTGGCTCCCCTAAATCCCAAGATTGGCCATTCCTGACCATAGCGTACAACTTGTGAACGGTAGCAATTAAAGCGAATTGGGTATTTTCCAGAACTTCGGCATATCTTGCTTCCTATTAGCTTCTCGATAGTATTTAAGCAGGAATTGGTTAACATACCCTCTGGGTAATTGCTTGTATTCAGTCTTCTTTCGTGTACCTGCTGTGCATACTAAACCATCGTCCTTACACCTCTTACACGGAAACTCTCCGTCACACTGCAGCATTAAGTTAGTGATACTATAACTTGAGCTAAAAATATGATAATACTAACCTTGGTCTTCTTCATTCTACATCGTTCACACGCCTTCCAAACTCGCTTATGCCTGTTGTCGACAGCATGTGGCGATAGGGGTGGGGGGTGGTCGTGAGTGGGAGAATGTGAGGAATGGCTGGCTGCTCGCTTTCCGCCTCGATGTATAGGCTTGACTACCTTATTACTAAAAGTTGTACTCCTCCTCGACGACGTCGAAGGTTTAATATTGTCCTCCACAGGAGGTGTTGGCATCCCACTATCCATTTCGAGAGATCTGATAACGAGGCGACACTTAGGTGTAATACTAGAATAGCAGGGGCGATATGTTATGCAGGTGAGTGTGTAAGTGGACTGGGGCTCTGATATATATATGCGGAGTGTTGCTACAAGTGGCCAATTGTGGGAACCAAACTTAGAATCCAAGCTCAAGATCAGATAAATAAACTGAAACAGTGGAAGAGGGGAAGAGAGGAATAAAAAGGGTCAGAGACTATTCGAGAAATTCGATCGATAAAATGTGTGACTCTTGAACTGGGATTAATAATGCGGTAGAGTGAACCGAGCTTTTAAGGGCGTGACGATTATGTGATGTTGCGGTTTAGATCCGGTAACTTTATTTTGGGAACCCAGCAGTCTCGAGTGAAAATCGACCAGGGGATCGTCTTTAAAGTCGGCCGCGCTTTATGTCCGAATGTGCGGGCTAAGCAGGCTGGGCTAGTGACTTGTTGCTGACTGGTCGATTTTGGTAACTGTAAGTCCTTTGATGGAACCCGGGAACCCGTTGGATATGTTACGTCCAGTTACGTCCTAGGAATTCCAATGGTTTGTGTCAAGATGATGCGTACGACCTCTTGGTGGCTTGCTTCCTAGGATCGGAGAGTCGTGATATGTTATATAAACGTCTTTGTATGTCGAGTTCTCTATATAGGTATAGTATATATACTGTGTCGAGGCTATGAAGTGTAACAAAGGACCGAGGTTATGTATAGCGTCATGTATGTATTAGGTAGTTATCATAAAGCTCTGATATTACTACTACCCGAGTTTGTTAAACTCAACGGGATAATGTCCGTGATGGGCAAGGGAAGGGGGGAGTATATATGAATATAGGTAACACAAGTCGAGTAAGAGCTAAAGGTACCGTTTATCTTATATTCAGCTTTGAGTTCCTGTTTACAGGAAGCAGGGCTTTCGTAATGCCGCTTGGGCGATGCTTGTCACGATACCATTCCTTCATATCTGCAGGTACTAAGTTACTTTAAGTGACCTGGGTGAAGGATTAGTGACAGAGGAAAGTGACAAGTAGATACATGCATCTACATGAAGATCGGAGTGCAAAGTCGCGAAAAGTCACCGGCCCTACGGCCATAGGAAAGTGGCTCAAGGCTCAGTAAGCGTACAACGTGAACCGGGCCAATGTTGGTAAAAGTGGTAAAAGTAGGTCGGACTTATGCTATTCTGCTACTCTACTACTTACACTAATTATGCAACCTTGTAACTAGCATAAACCCTGGCTGCTTTAGCTTGAACCCTGTCGCTAGTTTTATGACAGCTATGGACAAATCGGGGCAAGAATGGAACTCCCTCTAAATCAACTGATGTTTGCACAAGCTTGCATAGCGGATTGTAACCGCTCCGTCACTAATGCATCTACGGTATTGAACTCCTAAACTCCTTAAGCCTTAGGCTTTCCCATCGCTCTTTTTGAACCTCTCGACTAAACCAATCCGTTAACTCCGAGTTGCCTCAGCGAAATACAATTCTAACGTACGTAAGGGATTAAATCTTCTTCTTTTTTTTTTCCTTTTGTTTTACCAACATTATTTCGAGTTGCTATTTTTTTTTTTTTTAAAGGTACATGTTTTACCCGTGCCAAATTTTAGGGTCTTGGATCAAATCCCGAACTTCATTAAAATACGGCGTACTTAGTACATAAGTGTATTGCCCCATTTTATAAATTCCTCGGTACGTTTATGAACTACGATATTCTAGAGGGCGGGAGATACTTGGCCCGTTTCTAGCGTAGAGCGGTATTTTGTAACTCCAATATTAGCTAGGGCTTCTAAGTAATTTTCGTATGTAGCTCGCATTCGTCTAGTGACCTGTACAGCTCCTGAGGCTCTGCTAAAACGCGCTAATGGCAACTGAAAGTGTCATGATCTGATTTATTTGTTACTTTACACGAAGCATCATAATGATAACATTGCGCCTCATCGGGTTTGGCTGCTCAGCCATCACGGGTTATCAGAGACATTTTTAAGTTTTGTACTTTTCTTTTTTTTTTCATCTGAGGACTGTTGTATGTGTCTGCATATACATTCTAAATAAGCATAAGATCTTGGCCCTTCTAAGCGACCTCTCACTTGATGCAAGGTAACAAGCGGTAACCCGTACCTAGGTTAGATCCTTTGTGGAACACGCTGCTAGGCGCTCCCCGTTTAGCGCATTCCCGAAGGAGAGGGCTGGCAGATCCGGAGAATCCTCTTATGGGTTTCCTGTCTGTCTTATGCAAATTGCCTTTTTTAAACCACCGCTTTTCATCTTTAGCTTGATGAGTTTGCCATGTAACGCGTGATTACGGGGAAACCCAGTCAATTTCAAAGTTCAACACCCTTATCGTTACGGCGACTCGAATGACATAAGGCAATGATGATCTCACCATTTGCTTAGCTGGGCTTAATTACATACATGGTCGCACATAATATAGTAAGTGATATTTTCACAGGCCATGCAAATGCAAAATGGTTCCGCTTTTGGCCAAAAGTGGGTGGATTTGGCGAGGAGCGACGGAGCAAAGACGCATCAAAATGCAATAGGTGCAGCAGATTTCAGCTTAATTCTAGAAGAGGGAATGCTAGTTGAATATTATTGGTCAATGCAAGTGGTGGATAAAATAGTGGAGAATAGTATATGATCGCCCCTAGGACCCACAACAAGCTTTCCCAATATGGTCCAGTACCATGGGACAATTGGAAATGCCGTATCGGCTCCGGATGTGATTTATACATCGGCCGAATCGGAATGAAGCATTTGGATAGGATATGATAAAAACGCAGTAAGGTTAATTCCATATAAGGTAAGTCCACTTCTTAACAATTGCCAAATGGAGTATGATGGAATAATGCACGCGGCATTAATAGCGCTGAAGATATAAGGATGCATCAAATGATATAATGATACCTATACAAGAACCAGACCCAAGAATCCGGTTAAGGAGGGTTTGGTTTTTGATCGGATTTGGCTTGGGTGGCTGGAGTAAAAAGACGATCGATCAGCTCGCACGCCATCAAAGTTAATCAATTAATCAATCAATCAAAAGTCGTTGTGGATTTTTTTTTTTTTTTTTTCAATGGAAACACAAACAATAAGTAAAACACCATAAGAATGATCACAAGAATCTATAATAGCGGATCCGATTATTCGGTGCTCGGCCAACTACATTAGCGAGTCAAGCTTCGCTCTCCGAGGGAAACCCCTAGCCCGAAAAATGTTACCATAGCAAGGCCATGAATACCTGTATTAAACGTTTTAGGGCATCGATCGAACAACACAACTTTCTTTTAGACCATGTCACGATGTCACAAGCTTATTTTTACCCGTCTACCGTCCACCGTCCACCGTCCTTTTCAAAAATTGACTCAAATTTGAGGTTCGTTATGGAGCAACAGGGGCAAAAAGTCCCTCATTTCTCATCAAATTTCACGATCCGGTAGGTTATATTGCATAGGTAACCCTGTATTATGATCAGATCGCTGCAGCCCTGTTTAGCCCTGTGCAGTCCGTGTCACGATAAGAGGAATCGCAATAAAATCTTCACTCTCCACAAACTCATCCCGCGATCGTCCGTGTGGGATAGGGATAGTCTCCTTCACGTGGAAAATCGAGAAAGAAACTTGCAATAGGTTACATACAATACTATGTATGAGTAGCTTCACATGCGAAGGGAACAGGCTGATGGAAACGACCCAATTTCCTCTCGGCGGGTCGGCTTTTATAGTATTAAAGCCGCCCGAGGATATTAATTGGATCGTGAAAAAGGGTATCACAGCATTAGTATTAGCATAGTTACTCACCCTCTTACCTAGGTAATTATCTCCTACCAACAATGGGACGTGGGTCAGCCCTAGTGGGACAATCTTCGAGGCCACTTAGCTCATCAACTTTTCTATTATCTGATTCTGTGAGGTACTTTAGCGACTTCGAGATACAAACGGGGGTAGAGTTGTGAAATCCGCGCCTTTTGTGCTGGCGGAACTTAGTGAATCGACTGTCCGTGCTCCGAATCCCGGTTCTAGTCGAGATCCTTAATACCATTATACATACATACATACATACATACAAGCAAGTCATTGAATCCTTTTTACGATAAAACCTGTTTGCATGAGAAGTTTCTAACATCTTGCCAACATTGTGCTATACTTGGGCATATGTAGTCGTAAGCAGGAGTGCATCATTAACTATTCCCGCGTGTTATCAAATGGTCGTGACGTCTTGCTCTGCCGCAGGTATAATTTGAAACCCCGTCTTCACAGCCACTTGTTGGTTTTGGTGACGGATATATCGACTTGGCATCCCTAACTTACTTCGCTATGTTAACTTCAGTTTTGAGAAGTTCGTATAAAAATAATACAACGTAACCAGGTGCTGTATCACCAACAACCGAAGCTACACGTAACTAACTGAACCAAGTATCTACCTCCTAGGTATGCATAAACGTAACACGTAATCTTCTGAAATCATTAAGCTAAGCTAAGCCTGCCTTTTCATAACCAAAGGGAGAAGAAGAGCTTCTAGCCCTATGTGTACCCACTGCCCCTTAACCAACTCTGAACGAGGAATGTTACCTACCATTTCCACAATCTTAATCCATAAAGAAAAATCGATGTTTTAGCTAAGAGGTAGACACTTATGGCCCCGCCACGTGGGAATACCGCGGCTCTGCGTCTTAGTAGTGGGAGGGAGTTAAATTTGCGCAAAAAAAAAAACCACACTGCGAATCTCATCGGTCCGTCTCGCGGCAAAGCTTCACGAAGCCCTTCTGAATAGCCGAGCTAGCGGAAGCTGAAAATGAGTAAGGCGGCGACGGGGCTAGTCTTGGCTAAAGACCCCTAAGCTGTCTCTCGAAAGAGAAAAAATAAATAAAGAAAGTTAAAAGTTTGATAGCTCCGATGGAGCTCTGTTCCTGATAGCGTGGGTTGAGTGAATTTTACATAATATCATCGCCGAGTTTTCTCCTTAAGACTCCGGGACCCGCAGCGTTTTCGATTCAAATCGGCCGGAGATTTTTTTCTTTCTCTCTAACCCTTGCGAACCGTGATCCGTGAACCGGGTTGCAAGATTGCTGGGTTGCCGATACCGCGGGTGAAGTTTCGCCGGTGACCTTGAGTAAAATATCTTATTCCTTTTAACCGCCTACTCATCCTCGGCTTTCTACTTTTTTTAAGCATTGACTCGCCTAGGAGCCATTTCTTCGGTGACGGTAAGCTTGTTGCGTTCTAGGTGATAGAGGGGATGTTAGAAAAGGGGGCGTCTTTTACTTATTTTCACCTTTACGATCTGTTAGAACGGATAGGCAAGTAAACGGAAACCCGTATTATCATATTAATCATCTAAACCCTATTCCTCATCACCGCTCTATCTCACATTTCCACCTCACCATATCCATGACCTCACGGAGAGATTCCGGACCGGACACATTACCGAACCTCTCTACCGCAATCACCAAATGATGATTCATATCGCGGACAGTTATTACAATCCGGTAACTCTCCGACGCGAAAAAAAATCCCTAAGGTCGTGCCGCCCGATTACATCCCCCCATTCCCTTCCTTCTCCCGGCGAAAACGGCCGGGGGTGAGAAATCGACTAGCCAAGTCAACCCGCATGATGGAGGATCCCGCTTCAGTCATCCCATCCCGTGTCTTAGTAATTACACCAACGCGGTGTGTGAATCATAGCATCGGATCTGACTAATGACATCCTATAGCTGCCCCAAATCCCACATCCCACATGGGCCGACTTGCGGAAGCTGTTAGATAGATGCCCGGAGATAGGTGGTCCCTCCGTATACTTCTAGGTACTTGCTTGAACCTCTATGCTTGAACTTTTAAGTACATTTAGCATGCATGGGGATTACCAGCGTTCTTATAGGTAAAGCCTTAGTGTTGAATCGAGTATATCTTAAATCCGGTAGATACCCTAAAAATGACCCGAGAGCGTATGCTATGTAGTCAAGAGCACCGTAGCAACAGGGCGTAATTCTTGCTGAGAAACCGGACATACAAACGGGTATAATTCCGTGTAGGTAGGTAGGTAGGTATCTACTATAATCTAAAAATTCGCATCTACTCGCGTAGAACCTCTCTACATATACCGTTGTAATATGTAGCCCCCCCAACCACATCTTCAATTTCCCCCGACGGCTATTAATAACAAGTCTATGAATCCCATGCAACTTACAAAACTCCAGTCTAACTAGCAAGCAAGCACAAATCACCTCGCTAGGTCCCTTTCTATTATCTCTTTTTCCCTTACGTAGCAAGCAAGGTTGGCTACCGTCTTCTATAGCTTCGCTTTCTCCTGGTTCTTCTTCTTTAATCTTACAACGCCCTATAGATAACAATATACTCGTTAGCAGGAGGAAACTACCGAAAGGGTAAAACGGGAAATAAACTCACCTCCTGAAACGCCGTAGCAAGCAGCGTCCCATCGCGGCTATAAATCTTCTGCATAACCACGCCTCTGCCGTCTCCTGCCCAGGGACTCTCCATCTCGACGAACATCCACTCGTCAGCGCGCACCTTGCTCGGGTTGTGGAAGTAAATTGAGTGGTCTAGCGACACCATCATGCCCACCTCGGGCCGCTTCGCCGTACCCTCCAGCGTCCCGTACCCCTCCCACTCGTTCAGCTGTTCCAGGTGCTTCCGCACGTCCGGCTCCAGCTTCTCGATGTCCTCCGGCCGCACCGGGTACCGCCACAGCCGGTGGATGCGGCTGACCGTGCCGATGAAGTACGAGTCGCTGACGTACGCCAGCGCGCTCAGGTGCGCCCTAAGACCGCCCTTCTCGCTAATCTTGCCGCGCGCGCGAACCCACTGCCACACGCGCTTGGTCGCGGGCGAGCTATCGTCTTCGCCATCCCCGGGTGCTTTGCATCGGAAACTCTGGAACGGGTCATCGTCGCCGGCCCGGCGCAGGAACGGCGGGTCCTGGTAGTCGTCGGGAGGGGTCTGGGCGAGCGCCTCGGCAGGCACGGGCACGGCATGCGAGACAGACTCTTCGCCACCACTACCCTCGCGCACGAACGAGCACGTGACGGTGAAGATGGCGTGGCCGCGCTGGCGGGCCTGCACGGTGCGGGTGCAGAAGGACCGGCCCTCGCGCACACGCTCGACATGGTACAAAATAGGCACGCTGGAGTCGCCTGCTAGCACGAAGAAGCAATGGTACGAGTGTACTACGAAGTTCGGCGGGACGGTGCGTTGGGCAGCCTACAGAGGAATCATGTTAGTCGGTTGGTTATTTCGTTGTAGTCAGCTGACATCTTGCATGACGCAGGAGGGTGGATGGGTGGGTGGTTGTTGGTTGGGGGACACGACGAGATCCGAGTTATGCAAGCGGAAACTTTCCGTCGGGATCCCAACTCATCGTACCCCCTTAGCCCCTCCCCGCCCGCCTTGTCCCGTCTTTGCATATGCGGGTGAGATGAAAGGGAAGAAAGTAGGTGTGGGAAGGGAGAGAAAGAATATAGTAGGGTGTTATATGTCGTTGGGAGCACAACACCGGGATGAGGCAAAAGCCGACCGGATGCCGACCCAAGTCAACCCTCGGCTCGGAAGGACGACGAGTGAAGGTCTGGCACACTTAGGCAAACAGACCAGAATACCTAAACAAGCAAGCAAACAACCCATACAAGATGGGAGCAAGGGAGTAAGTAAGTAATTAAAAAATAAATGCACGTACAGCAAGCGTCTGCGCAATAACGGCGCCTCCGTAGATCCCCCGCGCGCCGGGTGGATGCCAGAGCTCGCGGGTATTGGTGAAGAGATCCTATATAGCAAAGTACGTGTCAGCGGCGTTTCCCACGTACATAAATAGATACACATATATAACCAATACATATACTTCATATATAGTATAGCAGCCATTATCAGCCATAACAAATAAGAAAAAGCAAATACTTACAGGTCCGATGATGCTTAGCTCAGTTAACTCGAGCGCGTTCTCGATAGGTGCTTTGGACGTGTCGAGCGGCGGCGGCCGGACCAACGTTGGGAATTCGCCCATCTCGTCGGATACCTATCTACCTTAGGTACCTAACTGACTCTCTCCTTCCCGTTCCTATGGCTTGCAGGCAGGATTTGACCAACAAACGGATTTTGATCCCCGACGCAAAAGACTCAGGGGTTGACGTCGCACAAGAGGGCGGCAATCGATGATGTGATGTTTGGTTGTTGGTATGTTGTGAAATATATCCACAATTAGGTAGTTGTTGTAGTTAATTAATACGTGTCCTATTCTGTACAATCGATGAAATTACAAAGAATAAAAATTATAAAAAAAACCAAATCATAAATGTGTAATAAAAAAAAACAAGTTTCCTCTGCGCAACTCGAAAAGAAAAGACCTTCAAGATATCCAATCCAATCGACCTTCTCCTATTTGCGAGAGTTCGCTTGTCGCATGCGAAACTCCCGTAGCCGATAAGGATCGAGGCTAAGCCTATGGGGCCAATTATCTCGAAGCGTCTGCTTACGAAATCCGACGGCCTTGAATTTTTTTAATTATTTTTTACCGAGGCTCGGAATCAAGAGTTGGACCACGGCCCGCAGCCGGCGCCAAGAACTCGCTATCCAAACTAAATCTTCCCCCAAGTGCCGGCCGATCGATTGCCTTTACACATGTAAAAAAGTCTTTAGGTTACCAAGGTACGGCAAGTATGTAATAGTAGGCAGCAACTTATAGCACGGAAATATGACAGCTCTCTTTACGATGATCCATGCGTAGTCGCGAAATACTACTATTTTAGTATTTTCTAAATTAACATTTATAAAGGTAGGTAACTAGTAGCTAGGTTAGTAGCTAAGGCTATATAGGTTAGGTACATAGAAGACCTAACTGCCTCTGAATTCATAATAGGAAACTTATTAAACAAATTGAATGTTGGCCATTCACCTGACAGTCATTTTTTATAATCGTCAAAGTAGCAATGCCTCATTTCATTCATACTCGTCTAAAAAGCCTCGCGCATGTGCCTCTTATATATCATGTACAGCCACGTCACTATCTACTAGCCAAAATTCATTACTCCTGCTCTTCAGACGAGTAGATCGGCTCTAAGCCATCCCATGCGTGAGGATCCCCATTACCGAACTTCTCTCGTTGTGCCCAGTACTTTCCAGTAAATTTCCAGTGCTCTACACCCGTGATTTCACATGTCGTCTTCTCAAACCACGCAGGAGTGAATTCCTCGCCGTGTTGTTGCCTCGTCTTCCGCCTAGCTCGCTGCGCCTCTTCGAGCCGGTTCTTTTCGGACGCCGCGAAATCATATTCACCGTCTTCCATCGCTCTCTGATCCGGACGGTACCTGGAATCGGTGGGGGCAATCCATTGCTTGAGATTGTCGTCTATGTGGTTGAAGGTGAGTACAAATGGTGTAAGATTGAATGGGATACCTTCAGGCCGAGGATTGGCCTCCCATACCATGAAAGCTCGGCTGGGATCGCTGATACTTCCTCGTGTATCTTTTGGCTCTTCAACGGTAGCCTCAAAGCCAGGCGTAAGGCGGGCGTAGAGCTTGGAATTCCAACGGCCACCCAAGCTCATACGCGGCCGTCCGTCGGCGTCCAAAATCTTTCCAGAAAGCTGGTAGGCGCTGGATGCCTTCCAACCTCGCTGCTTGAAATCTAGCAAGCACGTCTCTCCGGTCGTCCAATTCTTGATTTCCACAAGACCATAGTTGTCTACGACTGGGTTACCGGTAATGATACCTACTACTTGCGACTTGGGCTTCTTCCACGTGAAGAAATCCTCTTTGCCTCCAGCAGTAGGGCGTAATCTCAGGAACCAGGTACCGAGATGATAAATATCGAACGACTTGCCCAAGAATCTAGAGTCGACTTTGGCCTCGCCCCAGTAACTCCACTTTGCAGATTCCGCATACGCTGCGCCGATAGGTGGATGGTGGCTGACTTGCTCGATAAAGAAGCGGTAACCTCTATCAGGTCTCGCATACTCAAATGTCTCACCTAAAAGCGGGTTGAATGGTTTCGCGACACGACCAATAGTCGACGCGAATTCACTCGACGCAAAGGCAGCGACGTACAGCATGCGTTCGATCGAGTCTGATCGATCTGCTGCCATATCTAATAGGTCTGCATACTCCATATCTTCACCAGTTCGATATAGCAGAGAAGTTGGCTCGTTGAACGATACCGGCAGCGTCATCTTCGTCATATCCTTACCGATCATAGACTTCAAGATACCCTGAAAAAAAATCAGCACCTAAGTATTAACTAAACAGAGTCCGTGAACTTACCCATAGACCAATCCTCGGTCGGTTGTCTTCATCCAATTTTAGTTTTGTCCTGAAGCCATTCTCATAACCTTTAAATGCGCTGCTGACGTCTATCCCTGATATTACGACGTCCTGTCCGGAATCAGCGGACGGCACAACGTCAGACGGCGGCATCGGTTCTACATCGACTTCTCCTGCATCTACAGCATCGAAGAATTCTTCCTGCTCGGATTCCGAGTCGCTGGAGAGTTCGATGGCATGAGAGTGTAAGGTTGATTTGCGCCCTATGCTCTTCAACGACGGTGATTGTAATGGGTCAGGTATCTCACCCTCGTTAGTACCGGACACATCAGTATGCACGGCATGAAAACTATCTCTAGTAATTGGCCTAGATTCGCCAGTGTTTCCCATGACTTCGCGAAGTGCCCGTTTAGCTAACTTTCGCTTCGTTTCGGCTTCGCTGACTCTTGCTTCTAGGACTTCTTGTTCTGCGGCTACCTTAGCCATACTCTCTTCCCACATTTGCCGCATCTCAATTTCTTGCTCTAAGCGATATTGCCAATGTGCGTCACGATCCTTCGATATTCTAAGAAGGTCCCCCATAAGGCCCTTTAGACTTCGGATCGCTGCGTCGTACGTCGCAAGCGCTTGCGCTGCTTTAGGATCCGCAAGTGATAGTGATGGGTTCCGATTCGCTTCCGCCTGTAACGCTGCGCTCACAGATGCTAGCGTGTCTAGCTGGAGCCTTGCTGACTGTGCAGTAATATTAAAAGCGTCCTTGGTCGCCGTCGGGGCTTCAGCACGGCTTGACTGATCTATGTATTCGTCGTCGTCGTCGTCGTCGACCTCGCCGGGGATTGTGGGCGCTCCGTTACTTTGTCCCTTAATCTCGGGGCTACCAGTGTCAACAAATTCGTCATCCACGCTGCCCGTGGTACTAGCATGAGATATTCCAGCCCGCGAGCCAACTCCCTTCCCTATTGAAGAAAAGCGGGATAACTGTACACTATTCCTAGGTTCACCTGTGCTTGCCACTTCGCTATGAGAATCGGTAATAGAAGGTTCCGCTGGTTTGTAAAGGCTGTCTCGAGCCTGCCGTAGCATTTCAGCACCTTGTGCCTTCTGTCGTTCTTCCTGCTTTGCTTGGTCCTTCATCCACTGAATCGCATTATTCAGAGCCCAGAACCATCGTTTGGCTTCGACTTCGTGATTGGCCTTCAGAGTATACTTTACTGATGACTTCCCGATGATCTCGAACTTCGTCTTTTCCTCGGGGCTCATATATAACTTGGCGATGCGCATACTAATGGCTCCTCGACAAGCATTTTCTGCGTCATCCTGGTGCTTATAATAACTCAGGACACCATTTTCGAGAACGAACCAACGCAGCTGGTAACCTTTACGATAGTTGGTCCACTTCTTGAGGTAACCCTTCATTTGTGGTTCGCGTCCAGCTAGAGGGTCCCCTGTGACAGCTGGTCCAGGACCACCTTGCGAAGTCGCATGTCCGAGTACCGCCTTCTCCTGAATACCACGTTGAGCAGCTACCGCAGCAGGTGATCGCTTAAGCATTGCCTTTGTAATATCATCGTTGGTAACCTGCTGAGGAAGTTTGCCTTTGCGATCCCGTTGAAATGGGTCAGCGCCGTGAAGGAGAAGAGCTTGGATCAACTGTGTGTTTCTCTTGCGGGCAGCCTCATGAAGCAATGTCCCGCCCGCCTGAACGGTCACGGGGTCACAAGGTAACTCGATACTATTGATGTCTAGGATTGTCTTGACACGGGGTTCCTCTAGAACCTGACCAAGAGTATCATAGGCTCCTGTTTGCACGAGCTCCTGGACTTGCTTAACTTTGTCTTGCACGAATAAGGTCCTCGCGAGCTGCAGCTGCTGGAAGATATCAGGATTTCTTGCGACATCTAAAGGGAGCTTTCCCTGGTTGTTTGCAACGGCATCGTTGATATCCTTCTGCTCCAGCAGTAACCGGACTACCGGGGCACGCCCCTGAGTAGCAGCCACATGTAATGGCGTATTTCCATCTTTGTCCCGAGCGTTCACATCGATGTATCCAGCGCCATCGGAGAGTACGTATTCTACAACGTCGAATTCGGCGCACTGGATGGCAAGGTGTAGAACAGTCGTATCATCCAGGGGTCCAGCATTCGCTCCACTAATAGAAGATGTACTCGCGCGAGGCCCGGATTCTGATGTTTCTCTAACAGCCTTGGATATTGCAGCTGTATTTCCGCTCCGTAAAGCCTCGACGATACGGAATTTACGAACGGATTGTTCAAGCGACGAACCCTTGTCGGCCACGGAGAGGCTGTACCGATTCGGGTTTAAAGAGGCGGGCTCGCGGGAGGGAATCCGACTAACTGACATCTTTTGACTATGACTCTTGACTGAAGCTTGGTGGGATAGAGGAACGGCGGGAGCGGAGGTACTCGTGATAGGAAGTGAAGCAAGCCCGGAGGTTTGCGATCCATCTTCAGAGATAGCATCGTCATCATTACGATTATCCTTGTCCTTGCGTCGGAGGAGGGAGAGGGCGGCCGACTTGGACCGCTTATGCTGGCTAGTTTCGAAGCGAGTCAGTACATAATCTAGGAGGATGTTTCTACATAACTTTAGGTAGGTGGTTAATAGAATTGTTAATAAGTAAATTTACTTACCCATCCCCAATATCCGACATGTTGAATTAACTAGATGATATAATCCCGGTACCGTTCGGTACCGAAACTGCAAACTGATAGACAACTTGTTTTAAAGAAAGTCGGTAGTGAAGATTTGACGGTGAGAGAAGATGTTAGTACAGCATATTCAATGATCGACAAGGAATTAATAACGAAATTAGAAGCGAAAGGTTAAATCGAAGGGTGGAATTTAGTTAGGCAGTTAATAGGTTAGGAATGATAGTTAAGATTGAATGTCAACGGTGTCTTTTCACAAAGACAAGCATTTTCCCCCTCGTCACCAGAAATGACGTTTTTAGGTCCAAGTTGTTTTTAGCTCGAGTTGTTCGAGTGGTGCAGCTTCCGTCTCCAATCCTAGTCTCCTACATAGGTAGTGTAGAAATCCAGAAATTGAACGAGACGCCAATCTCAGGGAGGGGACATTCCCCACCAATCGAACAAGCTACATACGCTAAAGATTGAGACACGTAGAACGTACAGTAAATATATACGGTGTGATACAGTTATTATACGGTGTTGGCATTTGATAGTGCCTTATATGTTAATAGGTACCTTTCTTTCCTTCTCCTTCTATACATGCCATGAAATAGAGTATTGGTCCGAGTTAAAATACGCAGAAAAGCTAAGCATAAAGTATCAATTTCCATATTTTGTTTTCCAAAGTTACCTATACATTACAAGTTTTGCAGAACTAAGCGAAATACTACCTAGGTACTTAGCCTTTCTTAATATTATTATTGAATAAAGTCCAGACATTCACAACCCCAAATTAGAACTCACAATACAGTGAATATGGTATTATGGTCATGCAGATTAACAGGTATAATTGGTCTCGCACCTCAAAATACTATAGCAAACCATATGGCCTAATCTAAATTAGTGAATATCACGATGAACTACAGTGCCACAAAAAAGTCATGTTAGGTAGTCTCGAACGAAGATCATCTGGCGCATACTGCCGTCACCCTGCAGGAGTCGGGTGTAGGGCGATGTGACCATAACCCTCCTCTAGAAGTCATAGCAAAGCTATCGATACACACACCATCTTCGCCGCCTAGGCTGCGGCTGGTCAGTAGCAATCCAACGGAACCTAGATCCGGTAGGCAACTACTCTAGACAGAAAAGATGTGGTCTAGTGACTAGAAAATGTTCATATTTCAGGACCATATGAAAAGCATCCTATATGAGAACACGCGTTTCATCAATACCCTTAAATCAACTTCATAATCTTCGTAATGCACAAGATGACTTGCTCTAGCAGATTAGTCATCTAGCCGGTCTTCCGCGTCAGACAAGATCTGGTTCATCGGCAGAAACTCGTACGGTCCCAGGTCCCAGCTGAGAGCGTCTTCCTTGCGGTCTGGGGTCCGGATGGCAGAGCAAGTCATGTAGTCCGGCCCCAGGGAGCGCAAGCAGATATTTGCATCGTTGACCTTGTTCCCGTGGAACAAGATCTCGTGGTCCTTGATGATCTCCTGCTTCTCTACGACCTCGCCGTCCGGTAGTTGCACGAACCCCTGGCTGGGGTGTGGAGCCCGGAAGTGTTTGAACTCGAGGTCCTTGAGCCACGGCGCCAGGAGCGCCTCGCCCGTCATCTTAACGTAGGCCTCGCGCAGGCACCAGAGCGTGTAGAAGGCTCGTAGCTTGAAGTCGATGATTTCATCGCCGCGTGCCAGCGGAGGTAGGCCTGGCTGTGTGCTCAGCAGATCACCCTTCAGGTAACCCGCCTCCGACCGACCGAATACATCCGAATGCAAGTCGACGAAACTACCCCAGCCCTCTGTATTGATAACCTTATGGTCGCGCACACGACGCTCGCTCGTACAAACTACATCTGTCCCAACATCGACTTTACCATCATACCCGGCCACAGCTACGAGAGCGACGATGCCGGCCTGATGACTGACGTTGAACGCGACGGGTTGCTTGCCCGTAGTAGGATCTACGTAGACGGGCTTGGTCTTTTCGTCCCGCGTCAGCTTAGTATCCCACCACGAAACGCCAGCATATTTGCTGACTACCCAGTGCTTCAGCAGATGCGAAGCAAGCGACATCTTCGCATCGGCGACGAAGTAATATTTTAGCACTGCCTTCTTCTCATCCTCGGTGAGGAGAGCTAATGCGCGCGACGCCTAGACTGACGTAAGTTGTTTAATCTACTCGTTGCAAGATAAAAAAACGAAGTTAAATTGCTCATACCTCTTTCTCGAGGTCTTTTGTCTTGATCGCCCCAGGCCATAATTGGCGGGTGTCGACAAGGTATTGTATGACCTCCACTTTACCCGATCCCATAGTGTTTTTGTTGGGTTAGGGGTTAGGAATGATGAGGAGGGTCAAATTGTAGCTACAACTTAAGTTATATAGAAAACATGAAAACGTGAGAAGAAGGAAGTCCGATCGGATCTGTCTTATCTCATCTCATTTTAAACTAGGTACCTAAAAATCCGTATGCAGCCATGGCACATCAATTCCTTCGTGCAACATTCTAATTCATTATTGGCTCTAGAATTGGTGAAAGAGCTATCCACACATGCCACATGCATTGGTGGTTGAGTGACAACGCTGATAGGTCTAGACTTCAAGCTTAATGGAAAGCCTATTCAGCGGACTCCAGTGCTATGTACATACCTGGATCAGTAGCTGCCGTCGCTATGTACCCACTACCAGAGATCCATCATCTTTACTAGAAACACATCCGACCTCTCGCGACTACAAGTATGTATCAGCAAAGTCACACAGCCGCACGTTTATATGAACAGCAACGATAATTTGAACTTGCAAATTCCAAAACTTGTATTAATATTAGCATTGTCCAAAAAGTCACTATTAATAAATAGTAACCAACCCGGGGCACGGGGGACTCGGAGGTATCCGTCCAATCCAATTATACCTCCTATTCAACGCCTAAGCCAAACATGAAAATCTCCCCCGTGCCGATAAACAGACACGAAGTTTTTTTTTTTTTTAAAAAAAAAGGTGACCCATCGAGACCAGGATGGTAACATAATACATGAAGGTAGCATGATATGTGATGTGATAGCGGCATAGTACAATGCCAGTCCCGTAATCCATTGCTTGTGGCTTTATGTCGTTTTAAGCCAGACGTTAGCATCCTGTTGAGAAATAGGAAGCTTTACTCCTCTTCTGACACCTCTGACTCCTCTGAGTAGTCTGGGTCATCTTCTAAGTCATCTTCCGAGTCGTCCTCCTCTTCTTCCTCATCTTCCTCTTCCTCATCCTCCTCGTCCACCATCTCCTCTTCCTCCTCCTCCTCCTCGACCTTAATTGACTCGTATAGCTCGTATTGTTAGTAGTACTCCTCTTCCTCCGGGTCTTCATCTTCAACCCTCTTAACCATATCCTTCGGTGCGTAGATCATAGCGATGTTCTCTAGGGCGATATTCCTCATACCGCCGGGCTCGCTGAAGCCATTGTCGGGATATAGCTCCGGGATCACAATCACCAAGTCAGAGGCGGTTATAAGTTCAAGGTCTTCGCGATCTATTGGCTGTATGTCATCAGGATCCACGGCAAGCTCGTCCTCGTCGCTTAAATCGAAATCGCCCACGAAGTCATCTTCGGGGGGAGCGACAGTAGGAGTATCGGAATGCTCCTCAGGGAGGATGATAGACGTGTCTGGATTCTCCTCAGGGGGGGTGATAGGAGTATCTGGATTCTCCTCAGGGGGGGTGATAGACGTGTCTGGATTCTCCTGAGAGACGGTGATAGGCGTGTCTAGATTCTCCTGAGGGACGGTGATAGGAGTATCAGAACGCTCCTCAGAGGGGGTGATATGAGTATCGGAATTCTCCTTAGGGGAGGTGATAGGAGTATCTGGACGATCGTCGAGGAGTCCGTAATAGTTATAAGCCACACTGTACATTCTCTTAATGACAATAGCCTCAGTCAAAACCCTACGGCAACGCTTGATCGGGCGGCCCATTTCGTCCTTGCCCTGTCTTTCGGGCGGCGGTTCGAAGGCCTTATAGTACTTGCGCTTGATTTTTAATCGCCCTAATAGAGTCATGCGAGCCTCCATATAAGCGTTCGTCGAGGTGCAAGCGTTGTTAGACATGTCGGTAGTAGCGTTGGTATCCATTATGTCAATTGTTTAGTGGCGTTTCTGATTTTTATTTGACAGGCGGATATCAAGTAGAGGGCGACTTCAATAAAGGGGTAATATATTTCAATAGGCGAAATATATGATCAGATAGGATAGTCGAATCAACTGCCTACTCTGGTAGGCTGTAGGTGTTCCTTGGTTGATACGATCTATCTTTGGATCCTATATTCGAGTATAGTCGAGTATATAGATCGTTGGTACAATTGTATCCGCGTATGGCGGTATATGTTAAGAGTGCTGTGCTGTGTATGTTGATAGTAGCGTGTATACCTTCATATGATGATCGTACTAGATATAGTAGTAGTCGTAATATATGCAACGGTAAAATCGTACGGCGTAGAAGTGTTGCTGATAGTAACCCAAGATAGAGGTGTTAAGTGGCAAGTAGAAACCAGTCGGGGACAAACGATGTGTAATCGTAGATCAGGGTTGGTCTCTATAGTAGTTGATTGTCGATATTTGCTTGCCAATAGATTTGGGAATAGCGATGGGAAAAAAGTGATTTGGGGTAGTGTGCCTAGTCGGCGATGATAGGTTTGTGGTTATAGTCAAGTATGTGCGAGTAACTGAGTATTTTCGAGCAGTTCGAATATACAGACAACTTGCATAAGAATTAGTGAAAGGGGTGAAGAACAAGAAGGATGAAAATTTTCCACAGATGGATAGAGATGGTTTATTTGTCCATTTGCATTGACTGGGTAGTATAAGCATGCTCTCAGACTCATAATTCTATACTTTGAAGGAGAAAGTATAGCATCTACTAGCTAGTAATATGCTTTTTGAGAAAGTCATAGCACCTATAGACGCCCTATAGGCGTAGGATGGAAATTTGGAAAAGGTCTAAGTACCTCTCTACGAATACGAACTATGCTGGTATGAAAGCTCTGAATATGTTCCAAGTTGACCACTAGTTATTGTTCTGGCCCAGATTCCACCCGAGCTCATGCCTGAAACTTTTGTTGAAGATCTTGCTATACTCGTGTCCCTTTCAAGGCTATACGATGCCACTTGTGGCTGGGTAGGAACCTCGGACTCACATATTTAGTATGTAGAGTTATATTTTTCAACTAAACTCTAAGTTTCGTTATAGTACAGTAAGATAAAGTATTCGAATTTGTCTATAAAGGTATAGATAGCTATCTAAAGTTTATATCAAATTGGCTCGGGTATAGTTTGAAAAGGGTACGTTTATAGTCGATATTATGTATAAAATCTGCGGATTAGTCCTATAAACAATCCGTTATAGTTAACGAGACTATAATACGTACTATGTATACCAGTGAGCATAGCTCAAACTTTAGGTAGTATATGAGCTCTCCTAATAGAAGGCTAGCCCATTAGGAAGATTTAGAGGAACTGACTTCTTGTATGACTCAGTAACTTTCATCGTAATTGTAAAGTAAATTGAATATCTGAGCAGTTGCCATACACGGGCCTTTCGCTTTTATTTTACCTAGAGAAAATTTTGCGCTTTGACTTACGTTAATGTATTAATGCAGTAGTTATTAATTATCATCTATGTTGTTGGAATTACACTGAGGAAATATAATTAGAGTTGATGCATCTATAATCGTAAGTACAATTTCAGCTAATTAGCTTATCAACTATAGATTAATTTACTTAGGCGGTATGCTTAACTTAAAGTCGTTTGAGAGACGCTAGGACTTAACACATGTAACTACCTAATGTAGCATTTTCATCTATAACTACGTCTATATCTATGTCCCTCTATGAACCGCTAGTTTCGCTGGGTGCTGGAACCTCAATCGAGAAAAGGAAAACAGGGTACCCCTTATTCTTCTTGGTTTCAGGCTTAGGATCCTTCTCAGCCTTAAGCTCGCCTTTCTCGCCAACCTCTTTGTTGGAAGAAGTGTTCTGTTTGGTCGATTTACCATTAAGGGAAGCATCATCGCTAGCTTTGGTATCCGCCTTATCTTCTGTCTTGTCGTCACTCTTGCTATCGTCCTTCTTCTTATCCTTAGTCTCGTCCTTGCTCTGAACTATATTAATGACATTTCCATTTCCATCGACTTCCACTATTGTATCTGCAGTATCTAGACTACCATCTTCTGTATAGCCCCACATCTCGCGAAGTTCTCCCCTGAATAGACCCGTAATCCAAGCGGCGAAAACAACGCCAGGAACAAGGTATAGCAATGCTGGCTGTGCGTGGCGGTAGACCAGAAGCATAACTAAAGTCACTACCATAGCAAGCAGGTATCCAGTTAGAGCGGCGTAGAAATATGGTTTAGGGAATGCTGCAGCTTTTAACACGGGCGTGGCATTTGTCGATAATTTGCCAAATTTCGTGCTCCAGAACCAATCTCCCCATTGCCCTTGTGGGTTGAGATAGTCCGTTTTGATTACCATGCGTTGTGTCTCCATATTAGTGACGATTCGGCCTGAAGATTCATCCTCGCTTTTTAACTCCACCGGGACGAACTTTTGTTGCCGGTAATAGTACATGTAGAGATCAAAGCGCAGACATAGCCCGACGAAGATTCCAGGAAGTACAATGTCACCTAGTCCGAGCATACTGGCTTTAGAGGGTCCCTCGAAGACGAGTTTGATAGGAACGTCAAGCTTGGTAGCGACCGTCACCATGTAAGGGCTGAACTCAAATGTAAGCGAAGTGAATTATGATAAGTACAAGAGATAGCACAAGAGACTTACGTATAAAAAACCATGTAAATGTCATAGAAGAAGAGCCCGAAAAGGACAGCAGTTCCAGTGGCGAACGTGGTTGGAGACATCAAGATGATACCGGTATAAGAAAAGGAGTAGCCCATAAGGTTGGATAAAAAGTTCGACTGCGTCATATAGTATGCTATGTTCGCTTGGATGGCAAGGACAATGCCAAGAATATCATTAAACTTGACTTTAAATTTCTGGTTCGTAATGCCGTGGATCGAGAGGCGAATAGTCCATTCTTCCGTAAGTAGACGACGGATTTCCCAAAGTAAACTGTTCGTCGCATCGGAAACATTCAACTCAGACCACCAATATGGAAGAGGACTTTTCTTCTTGTCGTCCCATACTTGTTCGGCAGAGTCCCCATTAACAGACCACTGGCCCTTTTCCAAGGTATCGATATGGTATAGCTTACCATTCTTTGCAAGCCACACAGTAGGAAATATGAATCCAGTAATGTAATTTAGTGAGTCAGCAAGGAGCTTCCCCATGGCAACTAGGGACATGATTGAGAAGTATGCTCTCAATATCTTATTGAGGATCTCCGGGTCATCAAGCCACTTGATCAAGTAATAGAGTCCTGTGAGGACCGTTCCAGCCATGATAGGAAGCATAATGGCATCAGAAGGTAGAAGGCCTTGAACAAGCTCGTCTTCCTTATCTTGATTTCTCTGGCCTCCTTTCTTACCCTTCTTGGCGGGATTTGCAGACGGAGGGCGACGAAGGGCTGCTTGAGACCCGATGTAAATACAAGCCATTGCCGTGAAGATGATGCGGCCTTCGAGAAGGAAAAAATCCTTATTGTTCCAGAGGATTTCTGGTAGGCTGGCAAGTTTCTCCGTGAGAGTCTGACTGGCTGCTAGAGACTCTGTTACGTTTGCGGCTGAGATCTCGCTCGCAGCGAGAAGAGTCGAATTATCACTAGCCATGATTTACTTGATATCGAGACTAAACAGAGGCTAAGTGATACGAGCTGAAGTTACGATTTGAAAGGTTGTGTTTAAAGACACCGAAAATGAAGGAGAGGCTGTTGTATGAATTTTGGTTATGCAGCAGAAAACGAAGTCTGGTTTGTATCCTCAAACTAGCCCTGCTCTTTTCGAATCTGGCGGGGTTATCCTAGCAACAACTGTAAGATATCGAATCTTTTATGTTTCAATAACTTATCAGAACCATTTAGTAGCTGGTGAACGAGAGTGGAGGAGAAGTTGTGAATGCGTATGTGGCATCCAGAGTCTTCACCTAGAAAACTGCGCAGATCTTGGGCGCAGATCTTGGGCGCATTAGGTACACATGATTTGTATCTAGATGAAAAATGACAGATCTCCTAATGATAGGGATATATTTATGCTGGAGAAACACGAAATGAAAAATGAATATCTTCTAGTCCATAAAGGTGTTGTTCGTAGAAGATACAAAGATTGGTAGCTGGTGGTTCGAAATCCACGTACTTGGATGACTTAAGTGTACCTAGGTGGCTTATAGGTGGCTGATTTGCAAGACAATTTGCGCCTAGAAACAGTACCTCTGCCTTCCTGCCGTATTGAGAAATACCGATAGTTGCATAACTCAGGAACGGCCAATTGAATACTTGAGGTGCAGCCCCTCCAAAGCTCCAAATTAGAATCTCGACCTTTTAGAGCTTCGAAATAGCTTCAATCGACACTAAAAGCTTGTGATATTCTATATCCAGAGTTAATCTTGTACTACACACGTCCGACCACCCAAGATGACTACCAATGTTGCCCTCGAGACCTCTATGGTACGTACACATGTCTACACTTACATCTGCACTCAATTATATCTACCTACATACATAGGTACACGCTCTTCTCCTACTAACCGCCTCTCTAGGGCACCATAATCCTCGAGCTCTACACCACCCACGCCCCCCGGACATGCACCAACTTCCGTACTCTCGCGCAGCGCGGCTACTACGACGACTGCGTCTTCCACCGCATAATCCCGAACTTCATGGCGCAGACGGGCGACCCGACGGGCACCGGCCGCGGCGGCACCTCTATCTACGGCGAGAAGTTCGAGGACGAGATCGCGCCTGACCTGCGGCACACCGGCGCTGGAATCCTGAGCATGGCCAATGCTGGAAAAGATACAAACGGCTCCCAGTTCTTTTTGACGCTGGCCCCGACCCCGTGGCTCGACGGCAAGCATACCATCTTCGGCCGCGTGAAGAGCGGGCTTGCCGTTTTGAAGCGCTTGGGTATGGTGAAGACGGGCGCGGATGATAGGCCTGCTGAGGAGGTAAAGATTATCAAGGCAAGGGTTCTTGATGACGAGGAAGCCGTCTAGTAACCAGATTTTCAATCATATTAGTCGCGTTTCTCGTAAAGATATAGATTACGGTCACAGGGATGTACGATATGCATAAGTTGGCGTTTCGGAGTTCGAAAAAGTTTCACGGTTTAGACGTAGAGATACCAAATCAAATCACATAACATTCGTGGTATATATGTGCGAGTCAACTGTAACCCCTCGCGCTAGCCGCTAGACGGCTTGTATTACATATGTGCAAAAGAAGCGTTCTAAAGATACAGTTTGATGATGATGATGATGATGATGATGATAATGCACGCCAGATGTTCCTATCCGGATCAGATGCAGAACGCTGCCTAACCTCAGCCCCTATACTCGCTGACAATATAACCCCGGAACCCCTTGAATGCAGTGCTGCGGCCAGTGTACAAGAAAGCTGTGAAGGTGACAAGCGGAGGATAATTCCTAGAATTCTCGTTGGATAGTTGACGTCTATAATGTTTCATGACGGAGGGTATCGTGGTTTGTCTAATATCTCAACGAGAAATCATTCCTCGACTATACAACCGGTGGGGATGATAATGTCCCTGAGCTTTCAGACTCGCGGTCATCATCTCCTCCACCGTTGGGAGCCGAAGTCTTACCATTGCTCTTTGACATAGGTGATGATATTAGTGGTTTTGACGCTCCTAATTTCAGCTTCTTAGCCGGACTAGGCACCTTCGTTATCTTTTTTTTAGGGGCAACCTCTACAGTAGACCCTTCCGCATCGTCGTCGTCTACCTTCTGTTCTACACTCAGTGAGGAGCTCGTCTTAACTTTTTCTTTCTTGTTGCTAGAAGCGTTCTTCTGCTTAAGAATTAGTTTCTTGTTGGCCGCATTCGCGGGCGTGGGCTTCAATTTCTTCTTCTTGTGCGAGTCATTGTCTGAGTCGTCATCATCATCTATCTCGTCACTGTCTCTCTTCTTATGGGGACTACCGGCCCTAGAGCTTGGGTGAGGAGTGCCCTTTTGACTAGATGGAGGGGTGCCGTCGGCATTTCCGTTCGTGTTGCTACCATTGCTGATCTTCTGCGCGGCCGCACGGCTTGCATTACGCCCGCTGTTCCCAATACATGAACCCATATGATTATTTAATCGGGTGACCAGGATACAGCGCTTGCACTTGCTGCAGGTTGCCGACGGGAATGAGAGCATGTTTGGGGGCCGTGAGGCAGCACCTCCACCTGTTCCTCCTTCTGGAACTGGCGTCTGAGAATCCGAGTTTTGCTCTAGCTTCTTCTCCATGTCCTTCTTTTTCTTCCCCCTCCCAGGGCCTTGTGCAACCCATGTTTGACCGTAGATGTCGTAGCCAGGCTTGTCGATGTACGGGTGCTTCTTGCAGTAGATTATGCTCGGGTCGGGTTTCCTCGCTCCTTTGCCGTCTGTAGGATATAATAATCTAGGGAGGTGACATCTTGGGCATACAATGTCCTTGGTGGTAGCAAGCGGGTTTCCCTTCAATAATACCTTCCCTTCGTCGTAAACAGCCGCGTCTGTTTCGACCTTGACATCTGGCCGAGCGTCGGGGGCGGAGGAATCTGAGGTATCGGCGGCTAGCTTCTCGACGCGAATGGCAGCGGTTGAGGCGCGAGCGATCTTTTCCTCTCGATGCGTCTGCATTAATAAATCGTGCACAATGTTGTAGAGTAGATCATCAAGAACAGCATGCGCCTATAACACGGCATGGTTAGCTGCATCTACATAGTTTAGGTTGTAATAATAATTATGTTCGGAGATGTTATAAAAATATAAACTGCCAACTCACAAGCTGGTCCATCCTCCCGGCACCTTCTGGAGCTTTAATAACTCCAGCCTTGCCGGTATTGAATGAGGCCATGGCGAACACTCAGTATGGCCGTGTGCCGACGTCGAAATATATCAAAGGTATTGACGACTTTGGCTGAAAATGAAGGAGATCCCAAAGGCTGACAAATTACGCGAAACCAAACTCCAAAGGAGGGATAAATGGAAATGCTGGCGTTTGGATCGGAAATATTAAAAGTAGGGGAAAAGTTCAAGTAAATGGTATCCACCTCTAGAATACCAGAATACCAGAATACAACCCCCTAAAGTTTTGGAAGGTTTGGAAGTTTTGGAGGTTTTGGCGTTTGTTTTAGGAACGTCCTTAATTGCGATTGTTATCTGTCGGTGTTAAAGAACACCGGTGATGTTTATGTTAGGTACCTGTTAGTAGCTTTATTCTGAGGAATCCTCTTTTTTCTTTTCCTTTATCGTTAATCCCTTTTCAGGCGCGCAGACGGGGAAAAGTGATCCAGGCGAACGTCCCTTCCAGATACCTAAAGTTAATAGTATTAGCTATCTGTACCTAACCGGAGGCTGAATTTTTGACCCGTAAGCCTGACAGTGTAGTACAAACTAGCCGCGATAGCGAATCAACTAACTGGAACCCTCATGCATTAGTGGGCAGAAGGGTCCCGGATCTTTTAAGGTGCGCTACGTAATACCATGCAGTACCTGAATTTGTACATTGAGTACCTAACCTCAACGTATAATATTAAGGTTAATGGGTAGGAACTCTAATAATTTAGGTTCATAATGGAAGAAAGGATTATCCCTAGATCTATAATTGCTATGACAGCTATGACAGGATCATAAACTTCTTCCTTTTCTCCTTGTAAGCCACCTAATCATTTTGTAAATCAAGAATCATAGCGTCTTACAGCAGTACCTAAAATAAAGTGTAAGCTTGTCCCCAGTGGAGCTATCGATAATTGCCAAGTCATTGTTTTTCTTTTTCTTTTCGTTAGGTAATCCCTACTAATTTACATGCGCCGCGCGAGCCCGAGGTCTGTAAGGCACTTAACGCGGTCTCGCCTAAGCCGATATTGGTATCCCGCCTTTTCTTTCGTATTGGACCTCGCTAATTCAAATATTTGCCTGTTTATGATCTCGTGCTATGGCAACAACTTCTTTCTCTCTCAGCTGACAACGGTAGTATCGGATATTTAACTTGGACTAAACATGTCTTTTCCCTCTACTAACGCCAATGGGCAATCTTCAATCCGAAATTTCTTCCAGCCCAAGACGCCATCATACGTTCAGCCCCCCGCCGTCTCCCGGACACAGGCAGCACCTCTTGTTCCTCCACCGCCGCCGTCGGTAGCCGCCGCCCCTTCTCCAACAATTGAACAGAATGGCCCGAGATCACCGCTGTCGCCAGTCCCCACGACCGCACTATCAACAAGACCGCCGTCCCTTCATCCCCAAGCGACTATCTCACCAATTCTACCCGAACACGTTCCTGCTCTACGACGCATAACCTCTCTCCTCCTACCTGTCAACTACCCCGATTCCTTTTACGCACGTCTCTCCGACCCGCTCTCCTCCGGCGCATTTAGCCGTGTGGTTCTCTGGTCTGACCCGTCCGACTCCAATGGCAGTCCTAAAGTCGTTGGGGGTCTAGTCTGCCGGCCCGAGCCGTCCCCGTTTACGTCCTCGTCCTCGAGGAAGCCATCATCGCAACCTATCACACCTTCCTCCCAACCCAACGCGCTATATATCCAATCTTTAGTCCTACTCTCGCCGTACCGGCAGCAGGGGCTCGCTGCGGCGCTGCTAGACGATGTGGTGCGGGCCGCAGTCACGAGCCCTTTCGCCTGTGAGGAGGTGTATGCGCACGTGTGGACTGATAACGAGGACGGATTGCGCTGGTACCTTGCGCGCGGCTTTACCAAGCACGGCCAAGTGAACGGTTATTACTTCAAGCTACGACCCGACAGCGCCTGGATCGTGAGGCGTAATATTGGCCCCGTTACCTCAGCTCTAGGATTGAACGGTGCAGCGGCATCAAGTAGCACGGGAATGGGAACAACGATTCCGCCGAGTACCACGGCCGCAGCGGCCAATCTTCTAAGCCAGCAGGCTCCGACGCCGCCAGCTATAGTAGCTACTTCGGGGACGGGTACACTCTCAGCGCCGCCTAGGAGCAACGGACCCTCGCCAAACCGCGGTCCCGGTGCCGGAGGATTGTCATTTCAGAACGCGCGGCCAGAGATGGAGTGGAACGACTTACCAGCAGACATGCACGGCTCGCGCGCTGCAGTCAGCGGCCCAGCCAGTAACGCAAGTTCGCGGAGTAGCTCTACAGCACCACGAAAGAAGAAGGACCGCGCATACCCAGCTGCTGCCTTCGGCAAGTAGATAGATATCTACCTGCCCTCAAGACCAGACTTTTAAACATGATCTGGGACCCTACAGGTTTTATCGAGGGATCTGAAAAAATCTCGCAATCACTGAAGAGGAAACGAGTAATGAGTTTGACGGTTATATATGCGATGTAAGTCTGCTGTCTACGTACGCAAGACTGCATTGGACAAGCATGGAAAGGTTTGAAAAGGCGAGGCAAAGGAGCCGGTAATTTATGCATAGTATTTGTTTGATCTGGATGGAAATACTGTTTAGGATTTGTTTCATGGCGGAGTTGAGTCGAGTTGAGTCGCGGCAAGTTTTATAGAGCCTGTCATACTGTATAGAGGGGAAGAAAATGATTTAGAATCTAGGCCTCGAGGCTGTCTATACATGCTCATAACCTCTTAAAAATTGACGGTGTTTAGCAAAATACGTGATATACTTATTTGTTATTAACCCTCATGTGACGGGCCTAGGCACAGATAGCACGACAATAGGGGGGTATCATACAAGAACCTTTCTCTTATAAGGCCAAATTTTACCCGAATACTTCATGATCTTATCTACCTAACTATCCCCTGACAATTATCAACATAGCATAGGACACAGCATATAATTTTAATAATATTTATTGTATTATGTCATGATTGTAGGTATATAAACATTCATTTTCTTCGTATTAGAAGTCGTGTGCGTCATGCTATCGTTGTCGACTCTCCGGCCTCCGGGATCGCGTTCACAACGCTATCAACTACACTGTTCTTAATGTAATTCAAGTAATCCACAATACCCTTCTTTTCCATACTCGCAGCAACAAGTGCAATCAAAGCTGCACCGACACCACTGCCGTCCTTAGCGATCCCGATACGGATCCGCTTTGCTCCCTCCGGACCAATACCTTCAATCGCAGCAAGTCCCTCGTAGATCATGTCCCGGAAGAAGGGGTAATGCTCAACGAGACTACCGTCAACGCCGATATCGATCGGCTCATCCGTCGAATTATTCAGTTCACCACTCTGTAGGACAATCGCGCCAAGAGCAACGGCAGAGAGCCGCGCCGCCCGACGTCCAACAGCATATGCTACCTCTTTAAATGCTAAGGCGTCTTCGAGCGAGGCAGCATATATTTGCAATTGCTTTTCAAGTTCTTGACGAAGAGATGAACAGTCCGGAGTGCTATCAGCTGCGGCAATAGACATTATCGAGCTGTCGAGGCCCCATTGTTTGAACACACCAGACTCGGGGGCTATCGTAGTGGTGGACTTCCAGTCGTTTTGACTAGAATTATCATCACGGAATAACGAGATCTCGGGTCTCTTCAGCATATCGACAATTACAAGACGGACGATCTCGCCTAAGAACATGCCAGATACCCGCTTCTCAAACATCTGGATGCCCGGATTCACGCTCTTCTTGTCCAGTTCTATGTCGTATGAAGTATTCGGCAATGTGTTCATCTGGTTGTCGAAGGAGCCCCACTCGGTATTTATGACCATTAGACCTGTCGACTTGTCGTAGTCGCCGCCGACAGGCTTTTTAATGTTGGAAATCTTTTCCACGTAAGCACCATTGGTTCCAGTTCCGAAGATAGCGCCGAGAAGAGTAGATGTTTTACCCGGAGAAGTGTAAGAGCGAGCCATAAGCGTACCAACAGTATCATTCACCAGAGCAGCCACTTTGACGGGGAGGTGAAGCCTATCAATCTCCTGCTGGAGCAAGGCGCATACGTCTTTGCCAACAGCATCCGGGATGTCAAAACCCTTGGTCCACCTCATTAGAGTTCCCTTGTTAATCCCATACTGCTGAACTGGGAAGCTAAAAGTAAAGCCAAGTCGGAATATCTGCTCGTCCCGGTAACCCTCCGGAGTGCTCACCGTCTGCCGCCGGCGTATGTGAGCTTCGAAACGGTCTTCATGGTGAGTTCTGAGAAATAGTTCGATCTGCTTAGCTAAGAATGAGAACAGGTCTCCAGCTTGCTTTGCGACCATTAATTCCTTCGGGATTGCTATTTTGCTGTATGTTAGGTTGAAGGTGGTGTCGCCATTCAAATGAATGGAACAGACTCGGAAATTTGTGCCTCCTAGGTCGACAGCTAGGTATAGCCCCTTTCTCATGTAAGCGAATGAGTAGTGATGCTGAGGATATCAGACATACCTTTTCAGTGCCATTGGGAACGCCAGTGACGTATGTAGGTATTTGACTCAAACTCGTGCCTTCGTGTTCTAATCCCTCACCTACAATTATGTTAGCTAAATTCTCAAAACATGATTAATACATGGTCGTACCCATTTGCCGAAGGAACTCTTTGACGCCTTTGTTCACATCCTCGTCTGTGTACTCAAACTGCGCGGTAATGCGCTTTGTTTCTTGTGCGAGCGCCATTGTGCGTGCGCGAGATACGGGCGGGGTAGTAGGAAATGGTTGAGGAGACTCGCACACGGGCTCTTGAACTGCAACGGCAGGAGGAGATGAGATAATACGAGAGAAAGGGGGTGATGGGAGGATACGCGAGTATTGAAATTTGACGTTCATGAGGAAAAGTTGCGCGACCTATAAGTTGGAGGGGCAATTAGCAAAGAGAACCCCAATTGCGTCAAAATGCTTCAATGCGGGGCCGAGCGCATATGATACGTATAATAGTATATATGTAATAGTAGGACGTAGGTAGCACCACGTAGTGTGTACTAAGTTAAGTAAATAGGGGCCGTGGGCACCACATAAGTAGGTATTTTATCTACTATGTATACCAAGCCGTGGGTCTATAAAAAAAAAAAACAAAATCCCACTTACTAGCACAAGGATGAGAATGAATAGTGAGAATATGCGGATGGATGTAACAGAAGGCCGAATCTCCGCCTTATCGTCTTGCTGTCGGGCCTTCTTGTCCTCTAGATTATTATCGTTTGTGTTATCGTTATGCGATGCAGCAACGCAGATCGACGAGGGATCATCTTCAGCTCTGGCGCTGAAGCGCCAGGCTTTAATGTACTGGGACAATATGAAAGCCACGGCGAGTTTCGCGGGGCTTTAGTGGGGTTAAACGTGATAGTCTGGAGACTTGGAGGAGAATCGTCATCAAGGCACAAGGGCGACCCCGTTCCCCAGGCTGCAGATGTCGCGCGATCAGGTACTGCCCAGTGCCCTGCAAAAACGACCGGCCTCGCGATGATTGGGTTTAACGGGCAAATAATAACGCAGACAAGCTTGAATTTATTGGTAACCGGGCCGTATATGAGCACAACCTGCAGATAACCTAGGTCGCTTGCGAGGGATGCGATGATATCATGGAGATCCACCCCTGCAGGAAACCAAGTCTAGACCCAATGCCTCGCTTCGTTTGGTACTGATTTTTAGCCTAGCAGCATCAATTTGATTTTGTCCCGTGGCCAGAGAAAAAGAACCGGGGTTGATGATACTGGCACCACAATTGAATCGTGCTCCTCCTCTTCAACGTCTCCGAGGCAAGTTAGCAAGTTGGCAAGTTGGTCACTTTCTCTCAGAAACACGAGCAACGATCGGAATACCTAATGTTAGGTTAGTTGATTCCTAGGCCAAGACCCTCGGTGGACACCGTGGGGTGATGCGAAACCACGAGTAATAAGCAATAAGTGGATGGCTAAGTTGAGGGTTCACTCGTTGCGACCGAACACTGCATCATCCTACAGAAATCCCAAGGATTCAGACGAGCTTATGAGATAGGATAAAGGATGAATTCAGCCAATTGAGAATTGAGCCACAGCAGCGGGCTGACTATAAGCGAATCAGAGAAGCTTAAAAAGTGAGTTGTCAGAATTAAATGACCGCGCAGCAGGTAAAACAGTAACAAGAATAACCAGAGGTGAAGCTACGATATCTATCTGAATAGGTCTAGATAGGAAGATGTGATGTGTAAATGAGGAGAATTTAAGATTGCGGTGAAGCCGAGGAACGTACCTAATGTACAATGCATAGGTACCTAAGGTAAGTGTGCCCCTCCGTTTCACGATACCTGAAGTGGGCAGCTCCTTCCCAACAATAACAATAACCCATTTAATTATGCAGCTAACGAGGTATTTCATAAGAAAGATGAATAATAGGAGACCCCTTTTATGTCTATTAAGAAATAATTTAAATATTGTTATATATAAGTGTAGGTGTGTAAGAGTAGGTGTATAAGTATAGACATAACTATGTTATATACTTAGTTGATGTAAGCTAAAGTCAAATCTAAATATTAAAAGACAGCGAGAGTAATAATAGTGTCTTAGCCTACGGTAATTCATTAGCGACATCTGTAGAATTGCTACCTACCTCCTATATTTACATAATTCTATTTGATAGCCACTGATTTTAGATAAACGCAGGTTACTTAAATCTATACTGCCAATAATTCTGGGGCTATTTTTAAGCTAGTTAATTGCTGAAAAGTTGGCTATGTTTATGTGGTCTTCAAGAGGTCCAGTCAGAAACCCGGCAACGAATACACGGCATATAAAACAACAAAACACCTCGGATTCCATGTACGACCATAGGATCTGGAAAATTCGGGATCCCGTCCGCTCTCCCCGTAGACAAGCTAGATACCGCCGGATTAGTAGTTGGGTCGGTGACGACCAGCGAATACCTGGTGTTGTACGTTTTGTATTTTTATACTACCTACCTAGGTACCTACCTATCTAACAAGTCCCATTTACCCCTTTTCACTTTACCCCTTTTTCTTTTTACCAAGGCTTTCTACAGCGACGTATATTATTGTTCATCTTAAGTACTTAACATGTTATTAGTTGTATAGGTAACCACCACTGTTTCAGAAATAGTTACAGTCCCTTATTTCCAGTAGGTATGTTAAGACGAAGGTATTATGATAAGTGGCTATTACAGGTTCAGCTAGGGACACCCTGTTAGGCAGTCGGCTTTTCGTGTAGCGATATCATTCCTTATATCAACCAATGTAAACTTGGTGAAACTTGAGAAAGCCTGGAAACATGCCACACTAAACGATGACTTGGGAGTACTTGTGTGATGTTTATCAC